GGACGATTTAGCTGCTGTGGCCGTATGTTTTGTTGCCTGGCAACCTACCTTTACGTTTAATCATCCTTCACAAAATATATTCCAATCCGCTAAATACAACAGACAAGTGTTGAGATCGAGAGTTGATTATGGTCTGGATAAGTTAATTGATGTATAATAATTAATAATTAGGATAACATTTCATGCCTAACAAAAGACATGCAATAGCAGATTTAGCCCTTGCATAATGAGTTTACACCTACTTCAAATAAATATTTACTGTTTCTCCTTATGCCTATGAACAATCCTGTAATGTTTTGAAGTCCAGAATTGGTCATTAGAGGTGGTTACCAGCTTCAGCAAATGACGTTGATAAGATGTAATTTCAAAATAGCTTTTTATGAGCAAGATAAACAAAGTTTAAACATCATGTTCTTAGTAATCTTACCATAGACATTATGTATCAAATAAATATAGTTATTATTGACATGCACTACATGTTATTATAATATAAACCTGTAACGGTGCAGGGGTTAAATATAAGCAGAATGTACACCGACCGTACGGTACCTATTTTTCGTTATACTTTTTTTGTGGTGATAATAAATAAGATTTATTTAGAATATGATATGCTGCATAAGAAATTTTTTTTTTTTTTTTGAGGCCTATATGAAAGGGACATGAATCTTATTGGCCCTATTTCCTGAAACTGACAACCACCTCTAGGGACCCAATTTTTGACTCAGATCAATTTATTTCAAATGGATTAAGAACCCTGGATAATACCCTTTTCGATGATTAATAGTTTCTTATATACTCTGCTTAAAGATACATTATGGGAGATTGGATAAATAGCTTGCAGTTCTCACTATAATAGTTAAAATCTAGATTATGTAAAAGGAATTTGCTGAAAATTTCAGTCAAATTGATCCACTCTGAACCATGATTTTAGCGATTGAATTTTCGACCTAGCCTCGATTATCATTACAAAAGTCGGTACGATAAAAAACATAGTCTCGATTATCCATTTCATGACTAAATCATGAATGAAAGTCGAGCAGTAAATCGGAATCTAATCCAATAAATATCGCAGGCTAGCGATGACATCGAGAGTTCATTATGGTCTGGATGATTTATTTAATGTCTAATAATTTAGATAACATTTCAGGCCTAAAGAAAGACCTGCAATAGACAGATTTAGCTCTTGCATAATGTACATCTATGTTTAAAGGAGCTAAATCGCTAATAATTGGGACCTACAAATTGACACAAATAGGTAGCAACGCATATAATAATGTACATGTAATATCAATGTATATAAACTGTTTTACATTCAATCGTTTCCGTTTTTACTCTTAATTTCAAAGCAGTTATGTTCGGCAAAATACGGCATCTCGAGCATTTGGTTATTCCGGTCTACACCGATAGTATTTATTGTGCATGCTCTCCAGATAAGAATATGGGGTCACCAATTGATATGACTAACCTCGTTCTTCGAGCCGCTTGTTACAAATGGCGCTGAAACGCATTATGGTACACGATTCGTGTACCAATCATAAAATATTTATTTTGTCTTAAATATTGGATATCAGAAGCCAATCTTTTCCCGGTAAGATCACAACACCAATATTGATTAAAATTGACAAATAATTCTTGTTTTCAATGTCAAAGGTTTTGGATGATACTGAAATCATCTGTGACTTGCAAGACGAAGTCAAAGTACATTTTTCAGCCTTTTGCTATTGTGAAAAATTACATTCATTATGAATGATATCCATAAATAAATGTAGGTAGATATAATTGTTTATTTATATAAAAAAAACATAATCACAAAATCATACCTGTTCACTGCCCAGGTAAAATTCCAAATGTAAGTAACATTTAAATAGTTTTATCTTAGAGAAAATTAAGGCATGTCGTGTAACAGGAACCAAACTAAATGTTTTATTTGGCCTAATAATATTCAACTTGATCAAGTTGATATATGTGTGTAAATGTATTTTTACACTTTATTGTCACACATTGTGAGTTACATGTATCTGTCATAAATATAGCTGTTTGAAATGTGTATAATATGATAAAAGGAGTAGGGAGTCTCAGCTATAACTATACATATGGTAGATGCTTAAAGATCGAAGGAAAAAATATTATACCGTATTTATTCAAATTACGTAGGCTAATTTTTTTTATTATACTTTTCATAATGGTTTGATTATTTAAGATTCATGTATGTAAATTTTTATAATATATTTTGTGGTTAATATTTTAAATTGTTTTGAAAAAAAAACTGTCAGCTACATGTATTTTAACAACCGCATTCTCCATAAAATGGAAAATCAAGACTACATGTACATCAGTCATTGTTTTTTAAGGCGAGAGATTGCTCTCAAGCGCCTGCTGCTCACCTGAATAACGACAGAGGGGAGCTTTTTCTCCCTCTCCTTAAAACTCGTTCTCCTTTATAAAGTCATGGGGGGTGGGGGGGTATTATCATTTATGAATCCAGGAATGACCCTCTAATGCAGTTATGGTATTGATCTTCAGAACCATTTTCCATACACACAACTAATCACTCTCGGACTTGATATCAGATCACTCTCCTTAATTTCTAAATCACTCTTCTTATCGATACTGGGAGAGCTTATTTACGGGAGCGTTTTTTTTTAATTTCGGCTCTCCTAAAATACAAACAACAACGACTGATGTACATGTAGCCTCGCTTGTCTAGTACCATTGCTTCGATAATAAACGATCTGTGCTACATCTTCAAACGGTCATATCTTTGCTCAGAATAAAGTAGTTTGAATAAAATTATCAGTACACTTGTATATTCATGTTTCATTATCTATTTTTGAAATAGGATAGTAAGAATGGCCAATTCCTTATCTGAATCTTACCTAATGTATCTTTAACTGGCAAGTTTTATTTGAGAAATTAAAAAATGAAAATGGAATTGGGTTTAATATCCTACTTTTCTGCACCAATTGGACTAATTATCTCCCTTAAACACAGACACGTGAAAAAATGCTCCAATCAAACATGGTGACCTCCACGAAAACTTGCCATTGAACGTACCTTGATCATCGCAATTCAATTATCACAGGTACATGTAGACATTTTAGCAGCAAAGCATGAGACTGGGTATTCATGATGATCGAGGAATCTGATAGGCCTCCAGCTGGATCAGTAGTCAATCGAAATTAATGCCAAAATATGCAGGGTATAACGTGAAGGACTTGATAAGATGTACAGAGATAAAGCGAGATCAAGCCCTCTATTGTAGATGACCAACACTGGGATCATACCCTGGATTCCTGGTTAGTCAGACAGCACCTTAACCACTGAGTCATCTTGGACTCCTGAAATCTATTTAGTATATATTGTAATATGTTAATAATATATTGCTTTCTTTCATTTACAATGTAAATGAAAATTGTGTAATATTTTGTATTTTGATATCATCTGCCAGAAATCATTATCATATCACAATGTATTTTTATAAGTGTATATCTGGGTATTGTTTAGTAGATATCATTTAATGATATATCCAATACAAAACCAGTGATGTCACAGGCTGTGTCATGCATGTGATATACGTAATTTGATTTTGTACCTAATCCTACTCAAATTTCTTTTCTGAATTATGACTGGTGAACAGTCAGGTTAAAGTAGCTAAGTCTCTAACTCAATATCATCCAAAATCTTCAACATTGAAAACACGATTTATTTGTCAAATTAAATCAACATTCATGTTATGATCTTACCGGAAAAAGATGGGCTTTTGATATCTAATATTTAAGACAGAATAAACATTTTACCATTGGTACACGAATCGTGTACCCTAATGCGCTTCAGCCCCAGTTGTATCAAGAGACTCGAAGGACGAGGCTAGACACATTGCACCAAATCAAACGGCGTATGTAGACAGGAATAACTAGACGCTAGAAATTTGCACTCGCTTGAGACTGCTGGCTTAATGTATTTCGCCGAACATAACTGATTTGAAATTGGAGTAAAAACGGAAACCATTGAAAGTAAATCAGTTTAAATACATTCATACTACAGTATTATATGCATTGCGACCCACTTTTGTCAATTTCTAGGTCCCAAATGTTAGCGATTCAGCTCCTCTAACAACCAATCCATTACAGGGTAACAAAACAATTGGGATTAACCAGATCTCTAAATATTATTATGTTAACATAAAGTGTATAATGACAATTCATTATGAGCGATTAGAATAATATTAGTATATTGCAGGAAAACAGATTGTGTAGTAAACAAGGCTATTCGAAATGCTTAAGCATTATCATGTAGAATATGTTGAACCATGCAGCAGATGAACAATATTTTCACCGTCTTTTAATACATGACAATCGAAGAAACTGACTGTAATATTACAGATTTTAAGTCAAATGTTTCTACAAATTAAATAGAATCCAACTACAACTTCTAACAATTTAACCCAGGAGAGATTTGATTAGATGATAAAAATGGACACACTACGTCAAAAACCCAAGTTTCAGCTCCAAGCAATGGCTAAGGATTTCTCGAGCCATTTCTTCGGGAATATAATGATTTCTTAAAGATACATTATGGGAGATTAGATAACGAGTTGGCAGTTCTCACTATAATAGTTAAAAACTACATAATGTAAAGGCAACTTGCTGAAAATTTCAGTCAAATTGATCCACTATGAACCGAGAACCATGCGGATGAAAGTTCCGCTTAGCCTCGATCATCATTACTGAAGACGATAAGACAAAACTAATAGTCTTGATTATCCATTTAATCGTTAATCACGAAGGAAATTTTTGCAGCAAATTGGACTGTAATCCAACAAATATCGCAGGCAAGCCTTGACATCGAGAGCTGATTATGGTCTGGATAAGTTAATTAATGTCTAATTAATAGTTTTTATAACATTTCAGGCCTAAAGAAAGACCTACAATAGGTCGATTTTGCTCTTGCATAATGTATGTTTAAGATATTGTGTTATTTTCTCCACTTGTATTTTTCAGTGTTGTGTGGATTGTTTTGGTGGATCAATGCGGATGAGGTTTAGATTGAGGAATGTGTTAATTGTAACGCTAGTAGTCTGTTTTACGCCTCTGTTATGGTTATCTGTTTTCAGTAACAATGGTACGTACATCTTTATTTATTGCTTTATGCAAATTGGGGGGTTTGGGTGGCTGAATGGTTTAGCACGTGCGGATTGGATCATGAGGTCTGTCGCTGAGTTAAGTGGCGTTGTTTTGATTCCCTGATTGTAGGTGGCAAGGAGTAGGGCCACCTATCAAACCTTGTGAGTTTTATCCAGGTCTTCTGGTTTCCTCCCACTGCTACAGACTCTTACGTGCAAGCGAATTATTTACATAAAATTTAACTGTAGTTAGTTCTCTCTCTCTCATCATAGGCAAGAAACAGCGATCGTTAAACCAGTTTAGGTTTGTTTGAACGCAAAGGTGGGACAAATAAACCGGTTTAAATAACACAACTGTCTACCTGTCTTCAAGAATGCATTTCTGAAAAGCTGTCTTATCTTGGTCATCGGAACAGGTCGACTTAAAACTACTAACTTCCACAGTATGTTATCTACCTGACAAAAGGACAACCTGTGGCCATACGTAATTAACTCTAATAAGCTTAAACAGACGAGGTCAACATTCATGTAGGTAAATTGGTTTGGCTTATGTTATGTGTGAACACTACACTATCCTGACGTAGAAAGCCATGTCGTTTTAAACTAATTTAAATATGTGTCTAAATAGTAAACACCGATAAGATAATAGGGTAATTATATGTCCATGCAGTTGGTGGATATTTTAATTCATATTTAGCACAAATTCACCAGTGGGAAAAATGCAGCTTTTTTTTATATGCCAATGTGGACATTTGGAGGTTAAGTTAAATGTAGCCTCCAATTGACTGGAAATTTATACACAGTGCATCAATTTATAACAATTACTCTAAGAGTTATGTCCTTTGATCAATTGGAAAAATCATGTAGACGCTCTTGAAGTTAATTAAAGTTATCATTCAATTGATTTTAAATTTATACTATCTTTCATAAGTAAAAGATAGATTTTGATTAATTTTGTAATACAGTAAATCATAATCACAATCACAATACCAAGCTTGTACCTGGCAAGGAGTATGGTCACCTGCCTAACCCTGTGTGTTCTCTCTCTATCTCTCTCTCATATATAGATTTTTGCCTTTCATTTGATGGATTTGTGTCCTAATACCTTGAAATCTAACGATCTTATATGTATGGGATCTGGATTTATTTTTTCAGGAACCAGTCCATATGAAGAGGCAATGCAGAAACGATTCGCTGATTTGCGAGATCGACTTCAGTTTGCCGAATCGTTGAATAGACAACGAGAAAATGATCTTTTTATTTTACGTAAACAGTTCAACTATTTGGTGGACCAAGTCGGTAGCAATCGCACTTCTAATAGGTAAATTTTGATGTGATTGGTATTTCTAAAAAAAAACACATTTCTAAAGTAAATGTAAATGATTAAACTCCATTGCATATCACATTATTTGGATTCTGTTTTATATCAATAATATTAACATCTGTTGTAAGAACAAAAATGCCAAAAAAATCTATGTTGCAAAGATTGAGTTGATTATAGCCCAAATGAAATTGCACTGAAAACAGGCTAGAGTTCATTTTCAAACACTATCAAAAAAACTAATGAATCTATAGGTTTTATGATTTTTAGACGTCCGGACGTCCGTCTGTCCGTCTGTCTGTCCGTCCGTCCGTCCGTCCACAATTTGTTTGTGGACACTCTACAGGTCACAATTCTTATCCGATTTTAACGAAACTTGAAATATAGGTGTATCTCCAAAAGATCTCGGCTGCTTTCGATATTGGCATGTATCGGATCGAAACTTCATGGATTATGGCCCCTGTTTGTACGAAAAATCACGTTTTTGGCTTGTGGAGCCTATAGAGGTCACAATTTTTATCCGATTTTGTTGAATCTTGAAATGTAAGTTTATAACCCAAAGATCTCGGTTCCTTTCGATAATCGCGCATATCGGACCGTAACTTCTTGAATTATGGCCCCTGATTGTACGAAAAATCGCGTTTTTAGCTTGTGGACCCTATATTATTATGTCACCGTTACACCATAAGGACGACTGAGTTCGAATTTCGTGAAAATCGGCCCACCCAAAATTGATAGACAAAATGGCCGCCGTTCGTTCTCAAATAGCGTAAAAATATGGTATATCAAGGTTGTGGACCCTATAGAGGTCACAATTTTTATCCGATTTTGTTGAAACTTGAAATGTAAGTTTATAACCAAAAGATCTCGGTTCCTTTCGATATTCGCGCATATCGGACCGTAACTTCCTGAATTATGTCCCCTGATTGTACGAAAAATCGTGTTTTAGCTTGTGGACCCTATAGAGGTCATAATTTTTATCCGATTTAAAAAAACGTATAATTATATCACCGTTACACCATAAGGACGACTGAGTTCGAATTTCGTGAAAATCGGCCCACCCAAAATTGACAGACAAAATGGCCGCCGTTCGTTCTCAAATAGCGTAAAAATATGGTATATCAAGGTTGTGGACCCTATAGAGGTCTCAATTTTTATCCGATTTTGTTGAAACTTGAAATGTAAGTTTATAACCCAAAGATCTCGGTTCCTTTCTATATTCGCGCATATCGGACCGTAACTTCCTGAATTATGGCCCGTGATTGTACGAAAAATCGCGTTTTTAGCTTGTGGACCCTATAGAGGTCATAATTTTTATTCGATTTAAAAAAACATATTATTATATCACCGTTACACCCTAAGGACGACTGAGTTTGAATTTCGTGAAAATCGGCCCAAAATTGACAGACAAAATGGCTGCCCTTCGTTCTCAAATAGCGTAAAAATTTCAAGGTTGTGGCCCCTATATAGGTCACAATTTGTATCCGATTTTGTTGAAACTTGAAATGTAAGTTTATTACCCAAAGATCTCGGTTCCTTTCGATATTTGCGCATATCAGACCGTAACTTCCTGAATTATGGCCCCTGATTGTACGAAAAATCGTGTTTTTAGCTTGTGGACCCTATAGAGGTCATAATTTTTATCCGATTTAAAAAACTGTATTATTATATCACCGTTACACCATAAGGACGACTGAGTTCGAATTTCATGAAAATCGGCCCAAAATTGACAGACAAAATGGCCGCCGTTCGTTCTCAAATAGCGTAAAAATATGGTATATCAAGGTTGTGGACCAGTGATGGGATTTCAAAAAATTTCATGTCAGACATTTTTTCCCGAAAATAAAGGGGCATAACTCTTACCGTAATTTAAGCAGACGTTTTCAAAACACAATTAAGAATCATGTGTCAACAAAATATATTCAAATTCATATGTAAAAAAAAAATAGGTGCACCTCGTTATATTTCATGTTTAAAACCCGTACGGTATTCAAATTTATGTCAATAATATTCCTACAAAATTACATGACATTACATGGTATTCTGCCTGGCAGCCGCTGGTTACAAGATAGAAACAATGTACATGTAATGTGAAAATTTTCAGTGTGTTATATACGATCATTTTGAAGTAGAGGAGTTTGAATTTCAGGACCATTCAATCTACTTCATCTATGAATTGTGTAGTTCTTCCATTTACAGTTCTGCAGTACAGAGAGTTCCTAATATCCAGCAGTATCTGAACAATTTTACGGGATTATCCAGTCAGGATGGTTTATTTCTGCCTGGTATTTTAGCCTATTTACCTCATCTCTCTGGCCATCCTGAGTTTACTCGACCAAGATATAAATTATCTGAAGGCAGTCGAAATCAAGGTTAGTTTGTCTAAACTTAGTTGTACTGTTGGCCTTATTTACATATAACCAGGCCTGAAAATATGGTTTTACGAACTTTGTGCCTGACACTTATTAGTAAAGGTCTTTGAGTGGCTGAATGGTTAACGCATGCGCATTGCATCATAAAATCTGTCATTGAGTCATGTGGCATGGTTTCGATTCCCCGCTTTTCCTTGAAAAGGTGTATTGTCAACTGTCCAACCTTATGGATTTTCTTCGGTTTTCTCCCACTTCTAACGAATTATTGAAATATAATTGAGGGAGGGAGGCAAAATGGGGTTTAACGTCCAGTCGACACAAACCAGGTCATTTCTGGACTAATATGGTTAAATTTTATTTCATTAATTCACTTGCGTGTAGGAGTCTTTAGCAGTGGGAGGACCTGGAGAAAACCCACAAGGTTGGATAGACGACCCTGTGAGTTGCTAATGTTTAAAGAACCAGTTGCTAATACTAATAGTAAGTGAAGGGAGACCACTCCACACACAATCAATTACACCTGACAGAAATGAAATGAAATGAAATGGGGTTTAACGTCCTACTCTTCTGCACCTAACCTGGGCTAATTGAAGACGGGCATACGCCATACAGTGTGCTATGAGGGAAATTTTGCCCGGGCAGCGGCGCTACGGCCTACTCTTATATCGAATTCCAACTGCCAAGGGATCTTTTACGTGCACGCCAATGTGTACATGGGACCTCGGTTTTTCGTCCCATCCGAACGACTAGGCAGCTGTCCTTGTCAGGCCCTCTGTTCTGCATCACTGACAAGGGGAAACCACGCCGGAAAATCGAGATGAACTTTCTCGGCCAATGCAGGGATTACACCTGACAGACCTACGGACAGTACACAATATACTGACACCACAACCAATAAATGCACATATGAGATCAAGTAAATGGATATAGAATCATTGTGAGTTTTAAAAAAAATGTGTATAAGTTTCACCCGGTTTTTAGCTTTGAATAATTTTTATTATTGTCTGTTTGCAGTTTCTGTTGTGTTTGGAATACCAACGATAAAACGGAGCAGCATCAGCTATCTATCTAAAACCTTGCATTCATTGGTTGATGGTTTGGACCAAACTGAGAAAGCAGATTGTTTGATAGTTGTGTTTATAGCAGAGGTAAGTCATAGCCTTCTTTTGTCACAGGAAGGTATAAGGAAATATGGTTTTCTCCATGAAATAGGTGGATTGGACAAAACTTACTTTCCAAAACAACAACAATTAAATCAAAATTTACTACATAATTTCAGAAATTTCCTAGAATTAAATCTATATTGTTTGGTCTGTCATGCGCTAGAGCAGAGAAAATAGCTTGACAGCTTCAATCAGAGAGGTATGAAATAGTGTTTTTGGGTCACTGATTTAACCTTTGATTCACTGTAGAAAAATATTCTGCAACTAGTTTTGAAAAATATAAAATGCTTTTAAAGTGCTTTTATAGAAAAAATGAAATGAATTGGGATTAACGACCTACTATATTTTTTATGAGTACCAGTGCGTGATAACTCTGACTACAGTACAGAGAGATGATTTATAAAGACATTTTTCAAGGTCATAAGCTATAAAAGATTAAAATTCTTTGGTGATACTATACTACCATCCTAGTGATTAAAGATACATTTTCCCGAAAGTATTTATTGGGTGGTTATTTCCAATAAAAGTATGTCAAATTTGGTATATATGGAAAGTATAGAAAAATACTGGAATGCCCGAAAAACACCCATGGGACAAGTACTGGGCAAAAATGTCAGGGTATCACTAACTGGCAACCCAATGGCTTGTCCGACAGATTATTGTATGCAAGCTTGATTGAGGGTGCAATTGTTATTTCTTTATCAAATGGTTAGGTGGTTTTCGGAACACTGAGGGGTGTAAATTTACATACATGTACATGTAAGACACTGCAATTAAACGGCGGAAAAAGAAGTTGATAGAAAATAATAAGAAATTACTTCGACCTCAATATGTACGGTAAAATAGACAGTAAGTAATAAAAAATACATCCTGAAAAATGGACCCTCCCTCAGTCAAATTAGGTGACCAAACATGACTTCTAACAACAGTATAATTATAGCTTGAGGTATCTCCCTGCGAACACAAAGTTTTGAGAGGGATTTGAAGCAATTTTTTTTGATAGAATAATTAATTCAAATATGTTTTTAGCCCAAATATATTATCAAATTACAAAGTTTGTAGGCTGAAAAGTATCTTTTAAGTTTTTCAATAATGTTAAAAATGTAAACTATAATATCTAGGATCATAACACAGTAACCCGGATATCTTTTAACCTTGTGTATCTAGCACTAATTTCTTTCTCGTTCATTCAATATCAAATTGTTTAAAAATTGGTAAAAATCATTTAAAATCTCCCCAAATCATCTGATTTGTACATGTGGTGAGTTCTTAAACAAAATTTCTTTCTCGTTCATTCAATATCAAATTGTTTAAAAATTGGTAAAAATCATTTAAAATCTCCCCAAATCATCTGATTTGTACATGTGGTGAGTTCTTAAACAAAAATTTGATATTGAATGAATGTGAAAGAAATTAGTGCTAAATACACAAGATTAAATATACCCGGGGTACTAGTGTTGAAACTCGGGCATATTTTGGTATTTGGCTATCCGTCTGCACTATCCGAACATATTCGGAATATTTGTGTGTAATTTAAAACTTAGTTTTGACGTTTAAGCGCATACAAATTCGTCTATTGTACGTAGTGTGTTCCGTATAAAGCGGTGGTTCTCAACCTTTTTTTGCTAACAGCACACTTTGGACCACTTGAAAAAATAGCGGCACACCTTAGACCACATGAAAAAAATAGCGGCACACCTGGCTAAATATATATGAAAAATATTTGAATTTTGCAAAATAAAAACATGGCAAGTCATAGACAGCCTACAACCGTAGACACAAACTAGTCATAGACACAAAGACACTGTATGGCGTATGCCCGTCTTCATTAGCCCAGGTTAGGAGCAGAACAGTAGGACGTTAAACTCCATTTCATTTCATTTCATTTCATAGACACAAAGAATGACTCAAACTAAATAAAGAAAAACACAACTATGAACTTAACAGTAGACACCAGTGAATACTCAATGGGGATCACATGGTTTTTCGGATTTTCTTAGTGTGCCGTTCAAAATTTCGTGGCACACTTAGGAAGATCTGGCGGCACCGTGCCTCGGCACACTGGTTGAGAATCACTGGTATAAAGGCTAATAAACCATAAGATAATTATTCAAATAGATGATTTCAATTATCAGACATCCTTTTGACAATGCTAATCTTTTTGATAGCCTATATTGTCATTGTCACTAATAAGCTTAATGCAGGACGTATCAAACTATCACGCCATCGTTTTGAAAAATAAATATGGCCGCATAACGAAGAGGGAGAAGACTTTCGTCAAACTTTTATACCCAGAACAGTTTTATTTTAAAACATTGCCTAAATAACAAGAAAAATCATTTCATAAGTTTTCTAAAACTTTATTTATCTGAACCAAATTAATTTGAGATGATTATATCTGTGAACGGATATTCAGATACAAGTTTCAACACTACGGGGTACAGTGATATATACTGTGGGTTGAATTTCATATAACAATCAGTGTTAACAACGTATTATATGAAAAGCACCAGTGGGGTTCATATACAATTAACTATATATTATGTGCCATTTTTGGGGCCTCATATGTTATATATATTATGTTATTATTAAATATTTAATCACATGACAACCCCAACAACCAACTCTCAGGATTTTCAATAGATTGAATATGAAACATGATCACCATTAGATAATTTAAATTGAAAATAAAATGGATAATCGATACTTTATTATCATAACAATGGTTCTTGACAATCAAGGACTGAAATTTTCAATATATTCATTTTCATTACCTAAACGACCTATAACATATATTTACATAAATCGGCATATGTACCGGTAACCATCAGGATAAGGGGTTTGTCTGTTGATGTCTTTATTTTGTTTTTATACGCCAACATTTTCATGTTGACATATTATGCTCTGGCGCCTAACAATTTTTATCTGATTTTGACGAAACTTGAAATATAGGTCTGTCTCCCAAAGATTTCAGTTCCTTTCTATATTGGCATGTATCAGGCCATAACTTCATGGATTATGGCCCCTGATTGTATGAAAAATCACGTTTTTAGCTTGTGGACACTCTAGAGGTTACAGTTTTCATCTGATTTTGATGAAATTTAAAATGCATGTTTGTAACCTAAAGATCTTAGTTCTGTTTGATATTGCGCATATCAGATCGTAACTTTCTGAATTATGGCCCCTGTTTTTAGCTTGAGGTCCCTCTAGAGGTCACAATTATAATCCAATTTAAAAAAAAACGTTTGAATATATCACCATTAAACCGTAATGCTACATTTTAATCAAAATCAGACCAAAACTGCCAAACAAAATGGCTGCCCCTCGCATGCAAATATTGTAAACAAATGGTATATCAAGGTTGTGGACCCTCTAGAGGTCACAATTTTGATTTGATTTTGATGAAACCTGAATACATGTTTATAACCCAAAGATCTTGATTCCTTTCGATATTCGTGCATATCGGATCGTAACTTCCAGAATTATAGCCCTTGTGAATATATCACTTTTACACCCTAATGATGGTTGAGTTCCAATTTCGTGAAAATCGGAAAAAAACTGCCAGATAAAATGGTGGCTCTTTGTATTTAAATAGTGTAAAAATATGTCATACCAAAGTTGTGGGCCCAAGAAGTCACAATTTTTTTCAGATTTTGATGAAACTTAAAATATAAGTTTATGTCCTGAGTATCTTGGTTCCTTTCGCTATTTGCGCACATCAGACCGTAACTTCCTGGGCATATCTTGCCTGGCAACCGCTGGTTGGCTTGTGGTCCATCTAGAGGTCAAAATTTTTATTCGATTTAAAAAAAACATGTTTAAATATGTGACCGGTTAAGTTAGAATTTCGTGAAAATCGGACCGAAAATGCCCGACAAATTGGCACTCCCCATACGCAAATAGTGTAAATGTATACAATACCAAAGTTGTGGACCCTCTAGAGATCACAATTTTTATCTGATTTTGGTGAAACTTATTGTTTATGTCCCAAAGATCTTGTTTCCTTTCGCTATTTGTGCATATCAGACCGTAACTTCCTGGATTTCGGGTAACGATTTAAAAAACGTTTAAATATATCACCATTCCACCATAATGAAGGTTAAATTCAAATTTCGGGAAAACTGAAACAAAACTGCCCGGCATAATGGCTGTTCTTTGTACTCAAATTGTAAAAGTATGTAATACGAAGGTTGTGGACCCTCTAGAGGTTACAATTTTTATCCGATTATGATGAAACTTAAAAGATATCTTTATATCCCAAAGGTCTCAGTCCCTATCGATATTTGCGCACTTCAGACCATAAATTTCTGGATTATGGCCTTTGTGCGAAAAATCGCTTTTTGTTTTTAGCTTGTTCACCATCCATCTCTTGCAAAATGTGGGCATATCTTGCTTGGCAAGCGCTGGTTAAGTAATTAATTAAAATTTAAAATTATTCTAATATTCTTATTGATTTCTAGGGTCTATGTACCAATTACAAGATGATGTGACTTGATATGGCTTTCGACCACAAAAAAATAAAGATTAATTAGGGATTAAAAATAAAATACTAAGAAATTACTTTACCATGTAATGAATTTATTTAACTTCGGTAAGGAAGTTACTTTACTTTAGTAATGAATTTACTTCTTGCGATTAATTATTTGTATGTTTTATTATAGCCTTGGGATGAAAAATATGTTGAAGAAGAAGGCAAAAGACTGAAATCAGAGTAAGTTTGAATTATAATATTGTTCAGCCATGAATTTGATTGCCGATTATATAAGGTTTCAATAAAAAAAAAAAAGCAATGTATTACAAGTGATATAAATTAAATCAGACACCCCATTAGGCCCCCCACAAAAAGAATTTGCAAGGGTCCCAAGCAAGTTAACAAAATGGCATTGAACCAAACGACATTAAACCCTATTAGAATACACCCCTTTCCCACCATCCTCCACAAAAAACTTGTGATCGAAAGAATTGAATTTTATTTTTTTTTTATTATTTTAACAGATTCCCAGAAGAAATAAAGTCTGGATTAATAGAAGTGATAGCACCACCTGCAGGGTTTTATCCTAATTTAAACAACTTAAAAGAATCATTTGGTGATGATAAACAACGAGTTAAGTAAGTATTAAATGTGGATGAATATAGCCCATCAGTTGTTGGTTCATCCATAATTTCTTGTGGACGTATATGTTCATCAATTGTTGGTCTATTCATAATTTCTCAATAGATACAAGTTCATGATGGATATTTTTGCACTTATGTGGTTGTAGATATGAATTACTGTCACTCCAATCCATTGCTTCATCCAACTCCATGCAGTCAATCTGCATGTCAGAGCGGGGTGGGGGGTGGATGGCTCTGAACGGTTAGCGCATGCAGGCTGTATCATAAGGTCTGTCATTGAGTCAGCTGGCTTTGTTTCGATTCCCCACTTGTACGTGGCAACTAGTAGGATCACCTTGTCCAACCTTATGGGTTTTCTACGGGTCGTCTAGTTTCCTCCCACTGCTAAAGACCCCCCACACACTAGTGAAATATTGAAATAAAATTGAAACATATGTTAGTCCCAAAATGACCTTGTTTGTGTCGAGTGGACATTAAACCCCATTTCTGACTTCACTATGGTGTTTTAGTTAGACCACACAAAATAAAATATTCTGGTTCTCAAACAATTCATTTTAAAAATTGATGGGGGGGGGGCTTTTTTTTTTTTTTTTTTATCAAAGTCTAGCTAGTTATTCATTTTTAAGGAACACACAAAATGATTATAAATGTAATATATATATCAACTCTTTTTTTTTTAATAAGAAAAACGTAAATAAGTAGGAATTTGAAAAAAATGGCTGAATAATTCTGTGACTTCATGTATCTACATTAATAACAAAAATGTTTTCACATCCGCTGGTTTTTATTTTGGCAACCATTACGTGGTATCGATACTGTTAAAACATGGATTTTGTTGGCGATTTAAATAGAAGTTTGCGACCTCAGTCTCCCTGTGGAGAATATTTTCGGTCATCTCTCTCAATCATATTTCTAGGGAAAGGTAAGGCATTTGGATTGTTAAAGGCAGATTGACTGCAAAATTGTCGCCATCTTTGCTTATAATAAATTAACATTCAATTATCCAATGCCGTTAGTGATTGTCAATAGTGTTTCCCATGGTTACGTACTTGATAGGGGGGGTTGGATGGCCGAATGGTTAGCGCTGTATCATATGGTCTGTCATTGAGTCAATTGGCAGGGTTTCGATTCCCCGGTTGTACGTGTCAAGGAGTACGGTCGCCTGTCAAACCTTGTGGGTTTTCTCTGGGTCCTCCGGTTTCCTCCCACTGCTAAAGACCCCTACGCGCAATCGAATTATTGAAATAAAATTGAACCGTGTGTTAGTCCCGAAATGACCTAGTTTGTGTCGAGTGGACGCTAAACTCCATTTCTCTCTCTTTCACGTACTTGATAGTCGAGTCTAATATTCATTTCCTGTTATCAAGATACATTCAATAGAGTTACTTCCCTTGATCGTAGTAAATATGAACGGGCGGAAATTATTGACTTTGTTTTTATTTTCTTTAAATAAAAACGTGTGACACAGCCCATTTTTGATAACGCGTCAGTAGCTAAGAACCAGAATATGTTTTTTTGTGTAGCCTTACATTCAAACCAGCAGACATAAAAGGTTCACTATTCAGGAGATCAAGAAAGTTCCTCAAAAAGATTTTCCTTGTCTTGTTTTCCTATGGTGCAAGGTAAAACAGTCTAGTAAGAAACAGTATCTGGACATTCTGAAGGGACGAAAACTAACATTGGCAGTTGGAAATCAAAATAGGAGAAGACTGAAGTATCACTACAGTATTTAGAAATGAACCTTGGAAAAGACATGGCAAGAAACCTGATTTAATTTTAGTTATTGATAAAGCCTAAGACTTCAACAACTAATTCATCACTGCAATAATTATTTTTGTAGATGGAGAACGAAACAGAATTTAGATTTCTCGTTTTTAATGCTTTATGCAAAAAGTCGAGGGGTGTATTACGTTCAGGTATTTATTAGATTTTACCTTTTTCTTCTTCTTTTTTTTTTTGATTGGTTTTCTGTGGCTAGTAAAATGTAAGATTTGAATCAGGGACGGTCCTAGGGTAGCTGGTGCTCCTGTCAAATTCACCAATAAGATAAACTGTAGGAATATAAAGACAATGGTGATAAACTCAGTATCCAAATTTCAAATCTTTGATGGTTGGGTGGGGTTCTCTGGGGTATCAGTATCACCTCTGTTTGTGCAAATTTTGAACACTTTCATGTGATGCATATACATGTAAGAAATAAAACACCGAGAATTTATAGAAACTATAGATTGAAAACACATGATATGGTGCCCCCTAGCATGTATCAGCCCTGATTTGAATACATGTATATAGAGTTGTCTACATGCATGTTCATTATGGCTAGCTAGGTGTGTGTTTTTATAAATAGATGTACATGTATATTAATTTTCAGCAGATAATTAATAATACCAAGACCATCAACTGAGCATTTTTATTTTCTCAAAATATAAGAACCAATGCTTATTAATTTAGATGATAGATGAATGAAAGTCAGTGATAAAATAACAATGATGCCATTTATAATAAAAGGTGGCTTACATAAATGTTGAAATTAAAAGAAGCCATACATTTTAGATAAAATAGTCACAGTGGCTCTGACAGTGAGTGTTGGCAGATATGACAAAAAACTTGGGTCCCGTGTACACATTGCCGTACACATAAAATAACCCTTGACATTATGACCTTCAATGCAGTATAGGATAATGAAATTATGACCTTTAATGCAGCATAGGATAATGAAATTATTACCTTCAATGCAGTATAGGATAATGAAATTATTAAAGCTAAGCAAAATAAATATCGTAATCTTGATCAAACAGAAATGTCAGATCTGCATTATTTATACTCTTATACTTATTATTAATCTTATTCCACTGGAGAAGAGGTTGGGTGGTCTAGTCTGTCATTGAGTCAAGTGGCATGGTTTCGAATCCCCGCATGTACATGACAAGAAGTAGGGTCACCTGCCAAACCTCATAGTTTTCCTCCGGGTCCTCTGGTTTCCTTCCTCTGCTAAAGAGCCATTGTGCAAGCGAATTATTGAAATATAATTGAACCCTATGTTAGTCCCAAAATGACCTAGTTTATGTCAAATGGACGTTAAACCTCATTTATCTCGGGGGATGACTGAATGGTTAACCTGTGCGCGCTGTGTCATAAGGTCTGTCATTGAGTCATCTGGCTTGGATTCAATTCCCCAATTATACGTGGCAAGGAGTAGGGTCGCCCGTCCGACCGCTCCTCTCGTTTCCCCCCACTGCTAAAGACCCCTACACGCTAGTGAGTTATTGAAATAAAATTGAAACATATGTTAATCCCGAAATGACCTAGTTTGTGTCAAGTGGACCTTAATCTCTCTCTCTCTCTCTCTCTCTCTCTCTCTCTCTATTGTAATTGGTTAATTGAAAACATGATATTATAGCAGTATTAACAATGTTAATATAAGCTTTTATTTACAATAATTGTATGGAAAGTTCACCTGTGTGTGTGTGTGTGGTTGTAATAAATCATGTTGTGATAAATAAACTAGAACATATACTACTAATTTATTTGGGCGATATTTCAAAGAGTATCTTATTTTCATTTATAAGTACATGTTATAGTTTATTACTCTATCCAGTTACTAAATGCATCTAAAAGATTTTATGTGATAACTTTGTTTAATGGTGGCTTGCATGGAATAGAAAATATCTTTTGACACTTATTTTAATGCCTTCTCAAAAATACATTTATTTGAATGTCCTTATCCTTACAGCTTGAACCTCCTGTAATTAATGTCTGTGGTAACTCATTGGTTTGTTTTAGTTGTTTAGAAGTGTTTACTTTACTAACCCACAAAATGCTTTTATTTCATATTAATGTTTGTTAGTTTTCAGGTTATAATGTTTGATTAATAATATTATTCTTATAGAATTAATTTTGTTCAGACATAACAACAAAATGATTGTGATTAAAATCATCGTACTTTTTATTTTAGTTCCAACTGGAATTAGAACTCTGTAATTCTAGTCGTAAATTAGCCAATTAGTGAAGAAAAGTAGGACATTAAACCCCATTTCATTTTGTTTCTATTAGAAATTCACAATTCTTGTCTTAGATGAATGAAACATCATATATAATTACTTATACTTTATTATTTTGTCTCCATATATTATATCATATGTATATTTTAATGCATCACAGATAACATATGACATAATTACATGGAATAAAAGTTACTTAAAAGTTTATTTCAGGCGATGTTTCGAAATAAACTTCCATATAACTGTTAAATAATAAAATCTTTGGAGGGGTTAGTCCCAAAATGACCTAGTCTGTGGACCTCCCTCTCTCTCTCTCTCTCTCTCGCTCTCTCGCTAAATGACTTACATGTATCACAGAGAACTACATGTATTATATATCATGACAAACTTAAGTCATTCTTTCCTTTTAACTTTTTTTTATTTTCCTGTTTAAAGTATTTTGTTTAATTCACAGTTAATTTTGTTTTTACACTTTTTTGTGTTTCATTTTTGAAATTTTTATTAATTATAAATATTTTAAACTGAAGTATTACTGTAAGTGAATTAGTTCTGCAGATTATGCTAATCAAATTTCGATTGCAAGTGACAAGGAATGAAGTTACTTGTTGTGGGTTTTCTCTGATTTCCCTGGAGTTCATATATACCTGCATTCATACCGAGATGTTAATATACTGTATATCATACATGTACCTGGTTTTTATACGCCCACATTTTCATGTGGACGTATATTGTCATCGCCCCTGCTTGTTCGGCTGCCCACAATTTGTTTGTGGACACTCTACAAGTCACAATTTTTATCCGATTTCAACAAAACGTGAAATATAGGTTTATCTCCCTAAGATCTCGGTTCCTTTCGATATTGGCATGTATTATGGCCCCTGATTGTACGAAAAATCACGTTTTTAGCTTGTGGACACTCTAGAGGTCACAATTTTGATCTGATTTTGATGAAACTTGAAAAGCACGTTTATAACCCACAGATCTTAGTTCCTTTCGATATTTGCGCATATCAGATCGTAACTTCCTGAATTATGGCCCCTGACCCCGAGTTCACAAAGCATTCTCAGACTTAAGTTGAGAATTTGCTCAACTTTCAATTACTGTTTATGAGAAATATCTTTGATCCATAAACACAAAACAACTCCATATATAACAAAAACTTTAAAGAATAGACAATATCATCTATTTATCATTATATTTTAACAATGATATCAGTCCAAGAATGCTAGAAACTTGTATGATTGATATTTTTATTGAGAGAACCAGCAAAACTGATAATTTTAGGTTACATTATGTGTTTAGTTTTGTCTATGAAATTGTATTGACAAAAAGTAAGATATAAACTGATGTTTGAGCCATCAGATTGAACATTTCCTTCCATAAACTCTCTTGGTTTCTGATGTTGCTTAATCATCATAAAAACTATCAAATGCCAGGATGAGAAAAAAGTTTCCTATATATTTACAAATATTGCAAATGCTTATTTTGATATTTATAGATATGCCTATTGCTTGTGCTTTTTTTTTTGATATTTACAGATATTTATTGTGTGTGCTTTTTTTTATATTTTGGCTATCATTTCATGATGGGGGGGGGGGGGGGTGCTGACCAATATGGGGTCTGTGGTAGTTGCACGATCACAGTTTACTTTAAAGTTTAAAATATCAATTATTTTTTGGTGAATACAAGAAATGAATTTAATTTAGAGCATTATTACTTCCATATATGTTATATCTAAATAAGAATATTGTATTTATTTTGTAGCTAGAAGACGATGTTATCAGTAAATCTGGTTATTTATCAATCATCAAATCATTTACCTATCAACAGAAAGATAACACATGGCTTTTATTAGAGTTCTCTACCCTTGGTTTTATAGGTATGTATTATTATTACGGGTTGGTTGGGTGGCCAAATAGTTTAATGTGTGAACATGATATTATAAGGTCTGTCATTGAGTCTACTGGCGTGGTTTAGATGACCCACTTGTACGTGACAAGGAGTAGGGACGGCTGTCCAACCTTCTTGGTTTTCTCTGGATACTATGGTTTCTTCCCACTGCAAAAAACACATACACACAAACAAATTATTAAAATAGAATTAAATCATATGTTAGTCCTAAAATGACCTTGTCTGTGTCCAGTAGACATTAACCCCATTTCTCTCTCTCCCTAACTCCCCAAGTAAAGTGCTCATGTGCTCTTTACAAAATACACACGTAAACTAAAATGTGTGTGCAGACATTGAAATCAACTTAAAAAATTTCAAAATTCATTAATAGACATTCATTACCAATCGATTTTGAACCACATTAAAATTTCACTGTTTTGTTATGTAATAAAAAGTACATATGCCTTGTACGGGAGAAAAATTGTTTTCAAATACTTCTTAGATAATCATAACAATCTCTTACACATTTGCATTCATACCAGTGGTATGCAAATTATATAGGTAATTATGAAAGTATGTTAAATGTCCCATGTATGATGTATAACAAAACAATGACCATCATTTAGTACCATCATTTTTATATGTCCAAATTTTTCTGTGGACGTATTGTGTTGTCGCCACTGAAAGTATGCTAAATGTCCAATGTATGACAATGACCATGATTTAGTACCATCATTTTTATACGCCAAATTTTTCTGAGGACGTATATTGTCGCCACCCCTGTCTGTCTGTCCACAATTTGTTTGTGGACAGTCTACAGGTCACAATTTTTACCTGATTTTAAAGAAATTGGAAATATAGGTTTATCTCCCAAAGATCTACGTTCCTTTCAATATTCGCATGTATCGGATGTGTAATTTCCTTGCAGCAAATGGTGTAAAAGTATGTAATACCAAGGTTGTGGCCCTCTAAAAGTCTCAATTTTTAATCGATTTAATGAAACTTGAAACATATGTTTATAACCCAAAGATCTTGGTTCCTTTCAATATTCATGCATATCAGACCATAACTTTCTGGATTATCTTGCATTATTTTGATTGTACAAAAAAAATCACATTTCTTTGAGCTCATTCTCCATCCATCTCTTGCAAAATGTGGGTGTATCTTGCATGGCAACCACTTGTTAGAATTAAAATTTAGAAATATTTTATTCGAAATCACTAACTGCACATTATCCTTGCACTAAAAACCAATATTTTACTTTTGTACAGGTAAATTATTCCGATCAGCTGATTTACCAACTGTGGTCGAGTTCTTTTTAATGTTTTATTCTGATAAGCCCATTGATTGGTTACTCGATCATCTTATAACAGTTAAAGTTTGTAATCCAGAGAAAAATCAGGTTAGTCTCTTATTTCTCTCTCAACAACTGAGTTTTACAACATCTAGCCGTTGCTAGATTATTCAGAAATTCCCGAACTTATAGGTATGTTATCTCCCTTTACCGCAGACACGTGAACAATAGCGTTCGATCAGAAGTCATGACACAAACACACTCAAGTCAAATCAAATATATCGACCTCCACGGAAATCTTGACATTGAACAAACCTTCAACTTTGCAACTCAATTATCACAGGTATACATTCTAGCTGGAAAGTGCGAGACTTTGGTATTCATGATGATTTTTCTATCAAGCAATCTGAGAGGTCCCCAGCTGGGTCAGTAGCCAATCGATATTAGTGACGAAATACGCAGGATATATGTGAAGGGCTTGATAAGATGTACGGAGTTAAAGGAGATCTAGCCTTCTACATGTATTGAAGATGACTCTGACTATGCTTTTATTCTCAAATTTCCAAAATTGTACATTTTGTGGCAGACAAAACTTCCTTCAGCAATACTTATTGTATTATATATTAAATACCAAGATGTTAAAGTTACAATTTCACATTTGCAAAGAAAGTCAAAACATCATTATTTCTATGTCTTTTGCTCAATAGGCTGTCAACTCACTATTGTTATACGATCATAGGTTATCTTTCTCACACTTAAAAATCTTCACAGCAGAAACAATAACACAATTACCTCCCTTGTTTTCCTATTCCCCACCATGGAATGTAGCTATCTTCAAATGTTTGAATTTGAAGTTGAAAATGATATTTTTGCCAATTTCTTAACTGGCAATAGTGAATTATAGGATTAATAGGATTATTCTTTAACAAGGTAGGACTGTTTATAGATACCATCTATAGATACCATCTATTTTAGGTCTTTATTTTAATGCATTTTAAAAATATAACTTAAAAATATGAAATTGTAACTTTAAGCAATGACTGGTTAAAATATGACACAGAGTAAACTTAGCCATTTTGTATGCCCACATTGACATGTCATATTGTCATTACCAATGTCAGTTGATACGTCCTTATGTCCACCATACACAATTGCTTCTACTAAACTTGTGCAGTCCTTTCGCTTATGAGATGAAGGTTATTGAATTTCAATGATTTCCAATAATTATTGTCAAAAGTTATTATGGCTCTTGATCACTTAAAAAAATCTTTATCCAATTGACTTCAAATTTATACACAGTATTGCTCTTTAAATCATCCGTCTTCATTAGCTAGTCGGAGCAAAACAGTAGGACGTTAAACCCCATATCATTTCATTTCATTTCTTTAAAACATAACTCCCAATAACCCAAATGGCTAGATTTCATCTGATTGCCGGTACATGTTTTGTTTATATTAGCTCTAGGAAGAACTAGAAGCCTATTGATTTTTTATACGCCCACATTTTCATGTGGTGGACGTATATTGTCGTCGCCCCTGTCCGTCCGTCCATCCACAATTGTTTGTGAACAGTCTACAGGTCACAATTTTTATCCGATTTCAATGAAACTTGAAATATAGGTTTATCACCCTAAGATCTCGGTTCCTTTCGATATTGGCATCTATCGGATCGCAACTTCATGGATTATGGCCCCTGATTGTACGAAAAATCACGTTTTTGGCTTGTGAACACTGTAGAGGTCACAATTTTTATCCGATTTTGTTGAAACTTGAAATGTAAGTTTATAACCCAAAGATCTCGGTTCCTTTCGATATTCGCGCATATCGGACGGTAACTTCCTGAATTATGGCCCCTGATTGTACGTAAAAACGCGTTTTTTTGCTTGTGGACCCTATAAAGGTCATAATTTTTATCCGATTTAAAAAACCGTATTATTATATCGCCCCAAAATTGACAGACAAAATGGCTGCCGTTCGTTCTCAAATAGCGTAAAAATATGGTATATCAAGGTTGTGGACCCTATAGAGGTCACAATTTTTATCCGATTTTGTTGAAACTTGAAATGTAAGTTTATAACACAAAGATCTCAGTTCCTTTCGATATATGCGCATATCGAATTGTAATTTCCTGAATTATGGCCCTTGATTGTAGGAAAAATCACTTTCTTGTTAGCTTGTTCTCTATCCATCTCTCGAAAATGAGGGCGTATCCTGCCTGGCAGCCGCTGGTTATCCGATTTTGTTGAAACTTGAAATGTAAGTTTATAACACAAAGATCTTGGTTCCTTTCGATATTCGCGCATATCGGACCGTAACTCCATGAATTATGGCCCCTGATTTTACGCAAAAACGTGTTTTTTGGCTTGTGGACCCTATAGAGGTCATAATTTTTATCCGATTTAAAAAACCGTGCTAATATATCACCCTTACAACATAAGGACGGCTGAGTTTGAATTTTGTGAAAATCGGCCCAAAACTGACAGACAAAATGGCCGCCGGTTGTTCTCAAATAACGTAAAAATATGGTATACCAAGGTTGTGGACCCTACAGAGGTCACAATTTTTATCCGATTTTGTTGAAACTTGAAATGTAAGTTTATAACCCAAAGATCTCGGTTCCTTTCGATATTCGCGCATATCGGACTGTAACTTCCTGAATTATAGCCCCTGATTGTACGAAAAATCACGTTTTTAGCTTGTGGACCCTATAGAGGTCATAATTTTTATCCGATTTAAAAAAACATATTATTATATCACCGTTACACCCTAAGGAAGACTGAGTTCGAATTTCGTGAAAATTGGCCCAAAACTGACAGACAAAATGGTCGCCCCTCGTTCTCAAATAGCGTAAAAATACGGTATATCAAGGTTGTGGACACTACAGAGGTCACAATTTTTATCCGATTTTGTTGAAACTTGAAATGTAAGTTTATAACCCAAAGATCTCGGTTCCTTTCAATATTTGCGCATATGGGACCGTAACTTCCTGAATTATGGCCACTGATTCTACTAAAAATCATGTTTTTAGCTTGTGGACCCTATAGAGGTCATAATTATTATCCGATTTAAAAAATCATATTATTATATCACCGTTACACCCTAAGGACGACTGAGTTCGAATTTCGTGAAAATCGGTCAAAAACTGACAGATAAAATGGCCGCCCTTCGTTCTCAAATAGCGTAAAAATATGGTATATCAGAGGTTCCAATTTTTATCCGATTTTGTTGAAACTTGAAATGTAAGTTTATAACCCAAAGATCTTGGTTCCTTTCGATATTCGCGCATATCGGCCATAAATTACTGAATTATGGCCCCTGATTGTACGAAAAATCACGTTTTTAGCTTGTGGACCCTAAAGAGGTCATGATTTTTATCCGATTTAAAAAAACGTATTATTATATCACCATTACACCCTAAGGAAGACTGAGTTCAAATTTCGTGAAAATCGGCCCAAAACTGACAGACAAAATGGCCGCCCCTCGTTCTCAAATTGCGTAAAAATATGGTATATCAAGGTTGTGGACCCTATAGAGGTCACAATTTTTATCCGATTTTGTTGAAACTTGAAATGTAAGTTTATAACTCAAAGATCTTGTATCCTTTCGATATTTGCGCATATCGAATTGTAATTTCCTGAATTATGGCCCTTGATTGTAGGAAAAATCATTTTCTTGTTAGCTTGTTTTCTATCCACCTCTCGAAAATGTGGGAGTATCCTGCCTGGCAGCCGCTGGTTATTATATCTCATATACTACATGGTTTGTTGCTCAAACAACTTTAATGCTGTGGGTGCACCAGATGGAGTTCATATACTGAAACCATTTGCCATTATTGAATTTTGATTTAAGTTGCCCCTCCTTTTATTGTCTCTGTTGGTAATTCCTATACTTTAAATTTGTTAAAGGCCCATTGTTCACGAATGAAGCTTGGAATGAGAAAAAGATTTAAACCGTCTTTATTTCAACATATTGGTCTGAAATCATCTCTAGATGGTAAAATACAGAAATTAAAGGTAAAAATATTTACGTATGTTTATGTTGCCGAGACATTTCTGAAGTCATTCTGTCATTGAATTTTTTCGGACAATTTCTAATTGCTACACTTCTTGATGTACTCAAATTGATTATTTAGCATTAAATTAGAAAAAAAAAAAATAATAAAATATCAGCGGTTGATAATCTCGGAGCATGGATTCAATCAGATTAAAATAGGCACATCAAAAGATTTTAAAGAGCACTAATAACTGGTGCTGGCTTATCTTATCTGCAGAATGTTGCAAAATTTTAAATTGGACCACCCAATTTTCACCATTTTTTGGGCGACATCCCAAAGATTGTTCCGCATCCCATAGACGGACGATGATTCAGTTGCTCTTGTAGAATTTGGAAGATTTTATTAGAATATAGACCATGCTCGCTTCCCACGTGGAATCGCAAAATGTGACCACCAGGGGAACGCATCCCCCAGGTAGAAAACCAAGGATTTAGACATTTTAACTTGCACAATATTTTAGTTTGCAAGGGATTTAGAATATCTTAAAGGAAATTGACCTCACTCTTGGCCTTGTGTGATTTTTTTGATTTTTTTTTTTAGGATCGAGCATTTGGTAAAAATGGATTATATCGAGCCCACATAAACCCTCCAGCTAAATTAGCAACTTCTTTGAAAACTTACCAGACTTATACGCTAGCTAAGGCTTATGTTGGAGAGACATTCTTTTGGTCAATTGCACCTACTGAAGGTGACATCATAGACATTATACTGTCTCCACCTATATATTTAGACAAGTAAGATATTTTATTGATTTCCTGGAGTCATCGTTGCAGATTATTTGTTTATGTACCCCATTTACAGTAGGGGGGTTGGATGGCCGAATGGTTAGCGCATGTGGGCTGCATCATAAGGTCTGTCATTGAGTCAGCTGGCGTGGTTTCAATTCACCGGTTGTACATGACCAGACCTAGTCATTTGGATGGCATGAAAAACGGGGGTGGAGTGCACGCATTGGCATGCACGTAAAAGAACACTTAACAGTTGAAATTCGAAATAAGAATCCACTGTTCCGTCATAACACACTATGGCGTATTCATATTGTGATTGGTTAGCTGGCATGAGCGCATTATAGGAACATTCATCATGAAGAACGAATTATTGGAATTGGTCATGGTTATAATTAAATAATGATTTGAATTAATTGATTTTTCTAGAATATTATTTCGAACTGGGAGTGAGACACACTTAGATGATCGTTTAAGAGATGCCTCGGTACAGATTCAATTCGAAGATGAGTTTGATGGCCGGGTTGACTCAAGTCTTCCAATTAAGGCTGGGGATCGGGTTCCAGCACAAGGATTCACCATTATTGCCTTATTTGATAAAAATGGTCTTGGGGAGAGAACTCTTCCTTCATCTACGGGTAAAATAAAAACTGTTCGAATTCATTGTCATAGCAACAGTGATAATTGGCTTGTGGTAAGCGAGGTAAGTTTTATTTTTAATTTTGTTTGATCTTGAGCCTGGGTTCCAACTCGACTGTATATGTTATAACTGATGGCAATCAGAGACTTTGAGCTTTTAACTATTTGATAATATATAAAAAAAATTCAAATGACTGAAGAGTACTATATAAAGTTTACATGAGGTGTCATTCTGTTGCTGTTTTAAATAAAACATGAAAGTAATCAAAATTCTAAAATCAAAACTTGTTTAAATGAAATTTATCTTTGTGAGCACTAATATTTATTCAAGTATTCTTATGTGAATTAATATTTTATTTTGTGTGCATTAATCTTTTATTTTGTGTGCATTAACATTTTATCTTGTATTTTTATGTGCATTATTAATTTATCTTGCATTTTTGTGTGTATTTATATTTTATCTTGTATTTTTTTCAGATTATGATAAAGCCACGAGAAGTAGTTAAAGTGTAATAGGTGTATTTATTTAGGACCATGGTGCTTTTTACAAGACATTTTTATTGTTTTATCCAAATGTCCAGACCGAAGACATCTGTTAAAAATAGCCTTTTGTTATCAGCTTTTGGTATTAAATATTTTCATGGTTAATACCAGGAAATTTACAATTGAAACTTACATTATTTTGATATTTTCTAGACTACAATAATTATACTCTGCCTGTATTTGTTTTATAGAAGTTTTTAATTTATTGAATTGCCGATAATTGTGTAATAACTGGGGGAAAAGGGTAATATAGTTCTACTTGTTATTGAGCTTGATATAAAAACTTTGACTTACACAACAACTATACATGTACAAATATTTATTTTATGTTTACTGTAGTATACAAAGTGCTACAGTGAGTATAGTACTCTTTTCTAGAGTGCCAAATTTACCGAATTGCCGATAATTGTGTAATAACTGGGGAAAAAGGGTAATACAGTTCTACTTGTTATTGAGCTTGATATAAAAACTTTACTGAAAAGTTCACTCAAGCTCACATTATTAGAGACATGTGGTTGTCCTGGACTCCTGGCATAGACTATAGAATTGGTATAGCCATGAACTGGGAGTAGCATAAAATGGAATTGGTTGGCCATCGCCACCTGGCCTATTGTTACTCTCAGGGCTGAGCTACCCCTATACACCAAATTTCAGACTCAGGACAGCCCTAGTCTAGCTACCAACCCTTAACAGACAGACAGACAAACGACAGTCACAAATATTAGTTAAGATAAGATTGTAAAACTTTAACAAAAACAACTAACTGCTTTCTACACAGCCTTTGATATATCCCGTTGTATTAAAGTTGAGGTTCATTTGACAAAATCATGGGCAAAATAAGAGCTGTGGCATACAGACTAGAAGCACAGCACCGAAAATTCTAGTCACAGAACATCAAGTAATCATTGTTGAACAATTTTTGAACATAAATCAAATTCAAATCTGAGAAAGTCACTTTTTGGTATAATTAACTAAATAATGTAGAAATTTGGGTGGCCAGACCTGTGGCTCTACTAAAACACCTCACCCCTTCCCATATCGATAAGTCCTGTACGCCTATGCATACAGACAAGCCATGGAAATAAGACACCTGTCACAGACAATGTCAGGCACAAATTCAGGCTTTGTCGATCACAAAACCTCTAGTGCGAGTCATTATGTATGCCACTGATTTATATTTCTATTATTGATATTTATAATAAATGTCTGTCATAGAGTTCAAAATGTCAGGTAGTAGTTTATTAGTGTCTGATAGTTTGTAAGGTACAACTGAAAGCGTTATATCCAGGCCTGAATACCAGTACCATTGTGTAATCCTGAATCACTGGGTTCCAACATACTGTACTGTTAGGTCAAACAAGGATTTTTTAATTATATTTATAGTTTTAAATTCATCAATCCTGTTTCATATAAAGGTTAACATGCTTTTGTTAGAACTTTTATATGGTTTCTGTGCTACATGTAAATCTTGATATTTGAAGGGGAATATTTCATTGATATGAAAATTTCTCCATTATTTTGATATTTAAAGATGCATCATGTAAGAGCTAAATCTGACTATTGCGGATCTTTCTTTTGGCCTCAAATGTTATATAGATTATTAATTGATTGACAAGATGACTCCATAATCAACTCTCTAGACTATCAGATGGTTGTGATTTTGAATGGTTTTAAACACGATCGGCATTTAATAATTTGATTTAAAAATGGATAATCGCGAGTTTGTTTATTATCGTAACAACAGTAGCAATTAAAGTTGGGACAAGGCTATTCTTCAAATATTCATATCTGTCAACTCTTTATCTAAAACTTACATAATGCATCTTCAAAAACCAATAATGTTTCTGTATCAGTGACTGGCTTCCAAAAAAAAAAAATGGTGATTTAAAGCAGGATTGATTATTGTTTTGGGGTTTTTTTTAAGGGGCTTTCTACAAATAAACAATGGCAATTGTAATCTTGCTTGCTTGTGCGAGAATCCAGCCAAATGTAATCACAGATTTTAATAATGTAAGCCCGGATATTAATAATGAAGTTTCAAAATCAACGAAATTTGAATGTTTTGTAGTGTGTGGTATATTTTCAATTGTTGTTTTATAAGAAATAGTATTATTTGTGTTGTCTGGTTGATATTGATATCAGTAACCTCAAACTGTCACAACAACTGTTCGTTTAATCGTTCGTTCGTTTGTGGGGTTTTACGTCCACTTCCACCTTGGGTGATATCGCAGACAAACACAACTACCAACATCTCTCCTCTTATATGTTTTTGAAAACTGTTGAGTAATACTTATTGAATAGGGGCTAAAATAAACATCTTTTGGGAAATGGTGTGCACTATAAAGCAGCCAATATATTTGTTCAAACGGCTGATTGAACGGCGAGTATAGTGTACCAGCTAATGAAAGCCCACAATACAGATAATTAATAACATGGGATTAATAACTTGGTTTGATAAAAATATTAAAGTAGATCGAATAGAATGTAACTTCTCTATGACAGAGTTAAGGTTGCCACAACTCTAACCTTTATGCTCATTTGTTTGTGTTCATATATATATTTAACCAGATTTAATAATTGTTATTTTAAGCATTTTAAACCATCTTAATTAGCATATGAAAATAAGTAAACTAGGAAAGACAATGAAAATTAGAATTCTTAAGACTCTGTAAATTATTTGTTCTTTTAAAGAGTATAGATGAACATTCCCCTCTTTGACTGTAGTCAACAGAACCAATACTTTGTTTAGGATATCTGAATAGAATGGGGAACATGCCTAGGATAATATGTAAAACCCTGCTTCTTGAAGTTCCTCCACCTTTTCTCCTAAGTACAGGTTTTTGGGTTTATCTTTTTACTTTCCATGCATGTGAGTTAAGAATTCTAATTTTCAGTTTCTTTTGACATTATATGATATTAAGTAATACACCTACATTGTACACAAATTATATATACTGTACACATACACCATGTTGTTACTAATACTGTTTTATTTTCATTTAGTTTTTATTTTTGTTTCATATTTGCTTCAAATTTCCTATATATTCACTCATGTTGGGTTTTTTTTAAATTTAATTTAAAGCAAGTAATGAATTAATATGTGTGGGACCAGTTGGTTATATCTGACGACCAGATAAGATTTATTTCTTTAAGAAGAGTTTATTGTACATGTACTAGTGCTCGGTATTGCTACTGCAGTCACAATACTATATGTATACTGATTCAGGATATGCGATACGATTTGAATCAATATTCATAACCAGGTCAGTATTTACCAAGTTATTTTTAGTCCTGCTGACCGTGAAAAAAATAAGACTGTTTGATATGATATTGATGTGGATAAAATAAGGACCAAAACAATTTAAGAGTGTTTGTGTACCTATGGATAATGTGTGACATTAAGAGTGACAGGTTAGTTACTGAGTGAAGCAACAAAAAAAACATAAAATTCAGCATCAGCCAACAAAAAAAAATAAAAATACCCGTGCTTATGTTTACTTGAGCACCCCCCAATTTATCTGTAGAAAACCACACCAAGTCCAAGTTATAGGGCAGTGGGAAGTTTAGAGTTTGCGATCTGGGCAAAATTAAAAGGTAACAATAAAAACAGGTAATATGCTCTTAGGTGGGGGTTTTTTTTTGGGGGGGGGGGGGGCTTTATATAGCAATGATTGTATATGAGTGTGGCTATGGGTATAGATATAATTGTTAACATATGGTATGGAGAAACGTATGGTTTTCTAGTGTAATACACATACATTATTTAACATAATAAACATGTGAAAAGTTGGGTTGCCTGGCAATAAAGGTTGACACAACTAATTTGCCTGATCGGTCCAATGTTCAATCAGAAAAAATATGATAAAGATTGAATTAATACTTGACGCTAAAGAGCGCCCACAATGGAATTATGGAAGGATAGGGGCAACAATGATAGAATAAACATTTCCTTGCTGCATTATAATTTAAAGGTTGTCTCCCACCCCAAACTTCCTCATTAGTCTAGTCGGTGCAGAAAAGTAGGACGTTAAACCCCATATCATTTGATGTCAGTTATCTCCCAAGGAAGTATGGTAAACAAATATTGTTTAAAGTATTATGAAAGAGTTGGTGTATATTGAATCAAGTGGTTATTATGTTGAATAAAGTATTGGTCATCTGTTGTTTTGTAGTTTATACAGAAAACGCTAAAATATCCAAAAATAGAAAGTTTAGAATCTACTGGTAGAAGTTAAGTATCAAAGGAATATTATGTAGTAATAGAATCTACTGCTAGAAGTTAAGTATCAAAGGAATATTATGTAGTAAAGTAAAAATGATATTTGATATTTTAGTTAAGTACCAAAGGAATGTACACTACAACTTGGGTATCATTTAGTTGTGTTGTTTTAGCAGGAGTTTCAGTATTTAAATGTTAAGTTTCAAACCACTAAGTCAAATTGAATTTTATGTTGTAAAGTACAAAGGGATATTATATAGTTATGTACAAGTGGACAATTATGTAGTAAAGTAGAACAGGAGTGGAATGAATGTAAATTATGTTGTGTTAGGTGGTATTGTAAAATGAGAAAGCTGTATGTAATGGTTGTTTTGGTTGAATTTTAAACTAATGTAGAGAAGGCTAAATTAAATTCATGTTTTTGTGACAGTCATTGCCTGATTATAGACTTGTTTTGTGTAGTATTGTTAAAATATCTACTAAAACACAGAGGTCATCCTTTGATGTAGACATTGGTGCCAATCTACCAATCATTCATTATTTACACCAGATATAATATTGGACTTGTGTGACGATTTCATTGAAATTCACATGCATGATAGTGTCTGTATTTGAAGTTGTTTGATAGTCTCAGCAAGCCATTATGATGGTCTCAGCAAGCCATTGGGTAATATATTCATTATTGATACAGCACTTAGGCTGACACCCTCGTCCAGTATCAATATATTGATATATCACTCTTGACCACTAAACCACACATATAGATTGCAAATAATATATACATTTTTAAGACAAACATTTGTTAATGTGAATTTGGTGGGTTTGTGTCTCATGAAATTATATACTGTATTTGCATACCATGAATGTATTATTATTGTTAGTCCGAGATGCCAATGAGCCTAGATAGCATGTATAAATTATATATAGTATATTATATATTTTTGTAGGATGTGTTTGTTGTAAATCATATATTGATTGTTATTGATTAAATCGTCTCATGCGTTAAATGTGGATATATGACACTAAATGTTTTGATACTCTGTAAAATTTTCAAAGTTATTCTGTGCATTATCTAAAGCTGTGGAGATTGATATTTCCAATGAAGAACTGTACTGGATAACTTTACTGCAAGTTATCCAGTGACGAAACATGTACAGGATACTTTAACAAGTTATCCAGTGACAAAACATGTACAGGATAACTTAACATTTTGCAAGTTATTTGGTGACGAAACATTTGCTGGATAACTTAACATTTTGCAAGTTATCCAGTGACAGGTACTGGATAACCTAATATTTTGCATGTTATCCAATGACGATACATGTTCTGGATAACCTCATATTTTGCAAGTTATCCAGTAACAAAACGTGTACTAGATAATATGAAAACATTAAGTTATTCTGTGTATTTTTGAATATGCTGATATGTGCTTCCTTGTATTCAGTGTCATAGGATGTTCACTTATTTTGCTAGTACTAGATTGTTATAAGACTTTTATTATATAAATATATATTTGGAATGTTCATTAATTATGGAAAGACAATTATATTTAACTGGAAACAACACCTCCATACAGTTTGTGTTATTAGTCATTTAGAAAGTTTTCCCATTACTTTTTTTATTGCAGCTTTACAGTGGTGCTATGGGAAAATATGGAGATATTCTCTTATATTTTGTATAAATTATTTGGAATTTTTTCAAAACTTTTTCAAAGTGCCATTTATCACAAAGCTTGTGTAGAAATTTGCAGTTTTAACAAATTTTGCTAAGTTTGGACTTTATTTCTAATACATTTCAAATCATGCTATCTATATCAAGTATTTATATTGTTAAGATTTTGTTGTCTTGTTATTTGTCCTAGTCAATGCTCTCATTTTCATCATATTTGTTGGAATGGCAGTAAAATTGATAAGATGACATTAATCCCCAATTAATTCATTCATTCTTTTGGGAATAATAGCTCAGAAATGCACAAAGATTAATTAATTTGTATTTTCTTTTGTGTTAAACATTTAAAATCACGATGAAGAAGTAATAAAACCTTCTGGTAAATTCTGGACTACAAAATTTGTATTTTCTTCTTAGCTAAACATGAATATAATGGCCTACACATTTATAACAATTATAAAGAAAAAAAAAATTCTATTAAATTCTGGATTAATAAAATACACAATAAATTGGACTAGCAAAATATTGAATTCTGAGTTTTTGTTACAACTGTTATGATTTTTTAAAATAAAAAAATAAAAAAGTAGGGACATATGTAAAATATGATTGACTATATACAACTTTTTAAAATGATTTATGTTTTTATGTCATCTTTTAATTGTATATTTGATATATTGTTTTTGTTCATTTACCTGTAAGCTCCTATCAATCAGGTTTGTCTTAAAGATTTATTGTTTTAGAGCTAAATCTGACTATTGCAGATCTTTTGTTTGGCCTTAAATGTTATATAAATTAGTATTTAGACATTTATTCACATGCCAAGGCCATAATCAACTCTTTAGATCATCAGATGGTTGTGATTTAAATGAATTGAAACATGTTCACAATTTATTGATTTTGGCTTTGTCTCAATGAACAAATACTGTTGCTATGATAATATACATCTTATCAAAGCTTCAAACAGTGATAATTTCGCACAGTATAAAGTAACTGGAATGAAATTTTCAATATATTCATTTTGCATTATCTATTTTTGAACTATTATGTAGCAATAACGGCCAGCGCTTTATTTAAATCTTACATATTGCATTATTAATCATTAAAGCTAATGTTATATTAGACCTCAAGGTTAATACTTACAATACTTGCCATTGTTTATCTTGCTATATTGAAATACCATACCCATGTAACTTAATCATGTCCAATTAACTATAATTATATTGGTTCATGGAGCAATCAAATTATGATTAAATATTCAATTTGATTTTATATGTATGCATGAAGGTTTTCGGACAAATTTTGGACATGACTGCAATTTAGAGCTACATTGAGCTATCAAATGATAATTAAACTTTAATTTGATTGTATATGCATGCCAGTTTGCTGACCAAATTTAGACATGATAGCTATGAAGACTGGCATGATTTGGTAATTAGAAAGTGTGATGTGTATTTGTTAAATATATAGATATACCATAGTTACCGGTATTAAACATATTGCTCAGTTTCTAGTGTACCATGTAATTATATGCTATATAGAGATATTAAATATATTATTTGTATAACATATCTAATCAAGAGATTTAATATAATAAAATATTGCACAGTTTTGTAAATACTGAATGCCGAATTCTTTTCTTTGTTTGTTGCAGGGCTCTTGCATGGGCCAGTTTATCCCAAGGCAGGTCGGTTTGAGGAGGCATATTAGAATCTTTCCCCCATTATAGTTTTTTTAAAGGCTCAATACCACTCTTGTTGTAACTGAATAATATGTCCCAATCTTTATTCTGATCAACAAATTGTACTATTTTACAATATTCCAATTAATTGATGATACAAATTTCATCTTAACACACCTAATTTAAAAAATTGGAAAAATTCAACTAAATGATTTGAAAAGCCTGACATAAAGCTTTTCAAGTGTGACTTGGATTTAAAAATATTTTTGAACCCTTTGGACAAGTAAAATAGGATTCAATGGATAATTTACACAACAGATAGGACACTAACACATCTAGTACTTAGAATAAGGCTATTTTTTATTTTCTGGAGCTGTCAAGCCAGCAAGAGTGTTATTGTCCCTTTAAGACTACTACTTACTTGAAGTAATCTGAATAGTCAGTCACTAAACTGGAGGTCTCTGGTTCCTTCCCAGTGTTTGGCCAGAGAAGTTCATTAGCATTTTCCAGCCTGTTTTTCCTTTGTCAGTAGGACAGTTGTTTGGATGGGACAAAAACCAAGGTATAATGTACACTTTGGCGTGAACAAAAAGAATTCTTGGCAGTTGGAATTTGAAATGAGTCAGGTCATGGCACCAGGAATTTGAAATGAGTCAGGTCGTGGCACCACTGTATAGACAAAATTTCCCTCATAGCACACTGCATGGCTTATGCCTATCTTCATTAGCCCATTCAGCGCAGAAAAATAGGATGTTAAACCCCATTTCAAAATAAATGGAAAGTGATATTAGATGCATACTCCCCACAGTGTTTCATTTGATTAGAGCTAATCCCACTAAACACTGCTGTAATGGAAGCAAATTTCTGTTCCAAATTATGACTGGTCTATAGTCTGATTAACAACTAATAGCTAACTGCCTAACAATATTATTACGCTTTAAACAAAGCTCCAAATACTTCATGACTCACGATTTTATTATGCCCAAATAACATGTACATAGCAGAATATTGCAGAAAAACTAACTGCCTTTGTGTGGGTGTGATGGACATTTACCAGAATGCTTGCCCTTTTCACTGTTGATGTTTTCGGTCAGGGGTCACACTACAAGCTTAATCCAGCTCTGGGTAATTATAAGCAACATCAGAATCATGGGCCCAACCAGGCCATGTTATTATTCAACCAGTCTTCTTCACAAACATGTTTTTATTATATAGATAATGATTACAAGTTATAGAAATCATTTTACATACATTTATATTCAAAACAATATTATTACAAACAAAATGTACCTTTCTGACTAGACTAATCACACCTCAACAGGTGGATGTGGTGATCACACACCATGGGTTGCACAATATCTGATGTTTCTAGGCCAATTATATTTCTAATTAACAGAGTTAAAGATGCATTATGTAAAAGCTAAATCCCTTGGCAGTTGGAATTCAATACAAGAGTAGTCGGTAGCGACACTGTTCGGGTAAAATTTCCCTCATAGCACACTCTATGGTGTATGCCCGTCTTCATTAGCTCAGTCAGAGCAGAGCAGTCGGACGTTAAACCCCATTTCATTGTTGTAAGAGCTAAATTTTCTGACTTCAAATGTTCTATAAATTATTATTTTTACATTTACATACATGCCAGCCCCATAATCAACTCTCTAGAACATCAGATGGCTTAGATATCAAATAGATTTTACCAGAGAGAGAGAAATGGGCTTTAATGTCCATTCGACACAAACTAGCTCATTTCAGGACTAACATATGGTTTAATTTTTTATTTCAATAATTCGCTTGCGCGCAGGGGTCTTTAGCAGTGGGAGTAAACTGGAGGACTCGGAGAAAACCCACGAAGTTGGACAGGCGACCCTACTCCTTGTCACGTACAACCTGGGAATCGAAACCCCGCCAGTTGACTCAATGACAGACCGTATGATACAGCGCGCGTGCTAACCATTCGGCCATCCACACACCCCCCCCCCCCTGGATTTTACCAACCGCGCCATTTAATCAGTTAACTTTAAAATGGAGGCCACTCAATAAAAGGGCTGTCAATCAAGACTTAGTTTATTAAAACACCCTAATTGTATTGACAATTAGCTATTTCTTGTCAAAACTTCAAATACTCATAACTTCGCTCAAAATAAAGTAATTTGACTGAAATTTTCTATATATTCATTTTGTCAGCTCGTTTTCTAAGTCTTACATAATACATCATTAAACCCATACAAATTTAAATTTTAAGACTGCATTTAAGAATCGAATCAGGAATGCAGACAAAATCGCTTTACTCAGAAGTGTAGCAAGAATTAGTGAAGTGAATTTCAGAACCAAAAGGCAAGAAAATGACTTGTGTTGAATATTTAGAAATAATTGGTAGATCGTGCAAACCACGTGTTCATGTTCCATGCATAATGCTATAGCATTTATATATTAGTAGCAGCTACAAATACTCAAAAATACAAAAAGACGATTACCTCCCCTTTCTATAACAAATAAATGAATATGCAAAAATACCCACTACGTTACAATGTCAATATTACATTTATTATTAAATTAAATTATTAAAATATCCGTGTTACTCTGTCTTTTATTATAAAAGGCACAAATACATAAACATGTAATTATTAGCGAATTGGACCATACTTCCATTGATAAACTCCACAAAAGTTCTGTGGACGACAATTACCGATTTTTAAATGATCGAAAACGACAAGAAAACATGTATAGGCCAATTGTTTGTAAAGTAGAATATTCCTCCATTGATAAACTCTACTACTACTGTTTGTAATTACCCAGTTTTAAATTAGGATTGAATTAAATACAAGACAATCGTCGAAGAGAAGTAACTCTTAGTTAAAAAGCAGGGAAGTTCAGAGGGTTGGTGATGCACGGGGCCACCTCTTTCATGTTATGTCCCCAAGACTGGAGTATATGACCCAGTACTTAGAAATATTAGAAAGTAGACATACGTAAAATGTAGGACAGCTTGTACAACAAAGTTAACATCGATACTATTAAATTCAATAAAAAAGTAATTTTAATTTCACTCTTTGATTGGATCCCCGAGTGAAATGGAGGCCCGAGGCCGGTGCCCCCCACCCCACTACCACGCCCTCTGCACGCCTCAGCTAAAAACTCAGTAACTGTTGTGATTATTGAATGTGTAAAATGTTGTTTAAACGTTTTTCTCTGTAAGTAGTGTTATAATATGGTCCCTAAATGAAGTAATGGACGAAATTTTACATTTTTTTTATTTTTGTGTGATTATGAAGGCCCATATGATAGCATATTTAATATTTTTAAAAATCTACTTTGGCACATTTTGAGCTGAGTGTTTACCGGTTAAACACTAAAGCCATAATGTAAAATTTCATATTGCAAAAATAATTAAATTTGTTCAAATCAAATATCGTATAAGTCCATCTCATAAAACCATATTCTTTACGTTTTTACTCCTTTTTCTTCTAAAAAAATTAAAAAAAACAAGCCATGCAGCTTTTGAAAACAACAAAAAAAAGTAACAATCATTAAAATTTAGAATGCTGCCCAGTCTCTAGAATAACATCCGAAGTCATTGATCAAGTTTTTGTGAAATTATTCAAGCTCAATGTTATTCTTTAGTTTTCTAGTGTTTATAAAAGGTGTGAGTTATTGGTCATGTAACGATTTGTTTGTCGTTTTGGTCTGATGAATTCAGATGAAACACAGATTGATTGTCAAGTGATTCGTCGTCTGAAGTGGACCCCCGTAAATTCCAGTATATAACCCAACCAATTTTGCTCCTAATAAGTTAAGGTAGTTATAGTTTAGTTCGATTTTGTTTTCTGGTAAGCTTGGTACCAAATCTTGGAGAGACAGATTGCCGAATGGAACCGGAAGAAAATAAATAGAGGTACACAGACATGCAGCATGATGTTCCATGCCAGAATACCGTAGAAATTCTGGTGAAAAGGAACCACCATTGTTTTTTTAATCTCAAACATGCTTACGACCCACAGTGCCAGATTACACACTAAGAGAAAGGTCACCATGGCTCGTCCAGGTTTTCGTTCTACTTGGTTGTCGTTGGCTGAACAGCGACAAAGGCCATCGAGGATGAATATAGCTTGAAGAGTGCTCTGTAAGAGGCTTACGATGATGCACACGAGGGACAGGATGCTAGCTATCCCCTGGTACTGGATCATGGACACGGCAGATATAAGCATGAAACATAAATAGATATATGTTCCTCCTAATGCTACGATAAGAAGAACCGAATCGAGGGATATCAAATTGTGTTCCTGGAACTTCAGCTGTGTTAAACGGAGATGTCCGAAGATGATGCATGTACCGATAAGAATGAGTAGTGCAAGTTCCATGACGTAGAACACTTGAACAGCAGTGACTGGATCAGATAATCGACTTTCAAACACGAAAAATGTGGCAATGGCGATCAAGGTGATGACGGCCACAAGAAGACCGGAGAAAAGACCCTTGTTGGCTTTCTCGCAGTCCATACTGGCGGCTCCTTGTGGTACAGAGCTTGTAAGAGATGTGTGACTTGGCCATCGTTGTTTGACCCGAACTCCCACATAGCGATACATTCTGTAGATGACACCAGCGGCTATAATACTGTATATAATGGTGCAGGGAAACAAGTATGGAGAAGCAGTTCTGGCCAAAGTCATATCTTCATAACAGCTCTTCAGTACTCTAGTTCCTGTAAAGAGATCAAAGAAAACCCATTAATACAATCGACAGCATTTGGTTAACAATCAACCATTCTCACTTGGCTTAAATAATATATATAAGGTTTTGGCGTCTTATTCTTAGAAGCTTAAAGGTAACTATTCCAGATTAAAAAGCAAATACAGAATCTTAGAATGTTTGTCAACTACTGAAGAATAATTCGTTGTTTTAATATCGAGGTCCAGGTTATACCTTCGGCACAGTCTAATAATATAAGCAAATATAGAATTTTAGAACGGCAGCTAGTGAATAATGCAATAAGGCTATTAGATTATATATTGGACCACTATACGAGCTTTACCAATGTAAAAACATACATCACAAACGTTAACTTATCAGTAGGGGAAGATCGGTTTTAACACTACTTAAGACAATCTAAGTTATTTTAGAACTGACATTTTAACAGGGGAAGAAAAAAATTAGAATATTTAGAGTAGGGTTCATCGGGGAAGAACTGAACTATACCAACCCGTACGGTTAGAATTTTTAATGACGATGTAGTTAAGCTGATTGTAATCTTCTGATGTTTCCATAATGGCGGTAACCAACCAGACACAGATATTGGTTGCTAGGAGATGCATTAAACCAAATCTTACGGCAGCCTTGTGTTTATCAATCACCAACTAAAATTAAAGAAAGATATGGATAAATATTTACACGCTAACTATAATCCTACATTTTAACAATATGGTGTTTGTCCATCAAGATCAGAATTCTCTTTACGTTATCTTGGCTTCCAGTATCTGGTTTTGAGCGTACCCATTCGGAAGGGAGGTGAATAATGGTAATACGGTCCGTTGACCGGATTTGCTGATGGAGATTTCAATGTCTTAGGGTGGCACGTGTGGTCGAGGGGGAGGAGGGGTGCATTTTCTTTGGGCGTCGAGACAATTTTGAAAACATAATGTTTTTCAGGGGACAAACATCTGTTTAAGGGACACTATATTCAAGAGCAGCTGTCCAGGCATCACGGGACCCCCCCCCCCACCCTTGCCAACGGTCCCAAACTGCTCCCGACTTCTCTCTTAACGATTATTGTCATTTTATGCTCAACAAATTTCAATTCAATTTTGATGCACAGCGTTGTACATATTACACAGAATTATCAATGGAAATAAACTGATATTCCAGCAAAATTGAAACTGGCCAGTACCCTTGTCGTAATAGGAAGTCCAATCCAGCATCTGGAGGAAATTCCCAAGAAGCTCAACCCTCATTGATATAGATCTATTATTAAGGACCGTATGGGTATTTACAAAGTTAATCATACATAAAGTTAACGATTTATAATGGGAATACAGAAAGTATTGCAAAACTGACAATAACCAGTACCCTAGCCAATCGAACATCTGGAAGAAATTCAAAACAACTTAACTCTCGTTGATATAGATTTATTATTAAGGACCCTGATAGATGTATTATTAAGGACCGTGTGGGTATTTACCTTGTGGTTTTTAAACAGGAAGAAAGTCTGAACGAAGGTAAAGATGAGGTGAAGGACATAAACAAGTGTGAAAATGGCGCTCTCACATGTACTCGTCGTATCAGTTTCAAAATACGAGGCAATATGGAAACCATCTAATGTAACACTACCAATGCTGAAAGCTGAAATGGAAAGATTAACAATTTTCTGATTATTATTTCAACAGGGGATTTTTTTTCTTTTTCAACTGTTGCAATTTATTTTACCAAATCCCCGTGAGAAAGAATAATTACCAATGGTGCAAATATCTTGTCAGATCTCGGCTTATAGACAGGAGTGCATTATAAAATTTAGGATCTTCTCAAAAAAATGAGGGATGATACAAGCTCGTGTACGACCTACTTAGTCATGGAGGTGGAACTTTATGTAGATATAGCATTGCATATTTGGCCATTGCCATCAGGAGAAAACTTTTATGAGTCTTAAAATGATGGAATTATTGTGTTGGCGAGACATTAAAAACCACCAATCTTATGCATTGCGAACAGGGCTGGATTAGCAATTAAGCAAAATAAGCACGTGCTTAGGGCATCATGGGAAGGGGGCGCGCAGAATTTCTGTTTTGTTACATGACGAATTCGAAATATTTAATTTAAAAATTAATTAAGAACTTTAATTAATTTTCCTTGTTTTTGTCTTCCTATTGTTACATTCTTTGTCTCAATATATCATGACGTGGTTTATTATTGTTTACATTTTGAATTGTATACTATATGGGGGTATGAAAATCGTCGAAGTGTTTGGGGCCTCTATAGGTCTTAATCTGGCCCCGATTGCGAACCATTACAATTAATAAAGATTCGATGAGACGTGAAGTTCCTCGTTGTATCCCTGTGACATTTCAACCACTGTAGCTATTCTTGTTGACCCTGACCTTGTACAGCTTGAATAAACTGTTATATTCTCCTTATATTGGATGACAAGATAGGTCTATACCTAATATCATACTTAATCAATATTTTGGCTACTATACGATGTATTAGTAGGGTTTGGTGTCTGATGTAATTAGTCTATTTTCTATCTATAGAATTCTGACGCCATATCTTCAATCTGTCACATGTATGCCAGTAGTTCGATTTCTTACAATTAAACATTTCTTCCACAATATATTAAAGACACATTCTCACAAAATTATTTATAAGTTTAGTTATTTTTAATAAAATTATTATTTGGTATAAATGGAAAAGTAGAGACATTGAATCTTACTAGAAGAATACTGGATGCCCTGAAAAACACCCACGGGGCGCCAACAGGACAAAAATGTAAGGGTGTCTCTACTTTGCAGTCGGTGTGCTCGAGCGACGTAAGGGGCGCTTTGTATGTGTTAATTTAATGGCTAACGGTTGTGAGAACATTGAGAGACATAAAAGTCGAGTAGATGAAAATAGAATTTAGCAAGGATAACTACAGATAAAAGCCCTAAATTTATAACCCCCAATCAAGTTACGTGACAGGGAAACTTAAATAGATTCTTGCGGCATGGGGTAGTTTTCTCGGGAAAACAATGTATTGCGAGGAATTTGAAGCAAACTTTTGATAGATAAATTAGTTTAAATAGGTGTTCTTCAAGTATATCATCAAATCACACAGTTTGTAAGGCATCTTTAAAAAATAATTATTATCAAATGTGATTGCGATTCATCAGGTAAAATGAGAACAAATCAGCTAAAACTTTTACATAAAGTAGAATCAAAAACAATCTTACCTAGTGCCCCTAATCTAAGGTAAAAATTAATCCCTTCACCAACATGGGCTACTTCACCGGGAGCAGGTAAAACAAGATGGCTACTCATACTAGCTGATGATAGGTGATCCATCGCTTCTTTCTTATTCTCAACTTCTCCGGTCTCACCCACCTCTCCGCCTTCCTCCACAGAATCATTTCTACGAACTGGGGATGGGGATTTCTGAAGATTTTCAGTCGAGCGACGAAGAATCACCTTGATATTACTGTCCAAGTAATTGGTCCGAATAGGCACTCCTCGTAATATTCCAATTTGGAAATAAAGCAGAGTGGTCAGTGAACCTGCATACAGGTAAATCAAAAATACCTGTAATTAAAGGAGAAAAGGATGTAAAGTTTTAATATTTCTAGAACATCACATTCTTGTTCATGCTTTGTGGTTCATTGTGTTTTCTAGTAATGTACAGTTGTTAACCGGAAAGCCATTCTCCGTATGTTCTACTTGATACAGGATGGGAAGCCTGGCAAGGAACAGTGTCTAATCGTTCAAATGGGACAAAAACCGAGGTTATACAGTTTAAGACCGTACATAATTACAATTACTGTTATTTAATAAAACACATTTTAGCCAAGTTTAAATTGGATTCTATTGATTCCCCACCACCATCTCTATATCGTTCTCAGACAAATATAGTAATATTATTTTGTTCTATGTTTTTTGCACAAGTCAATTCATTCTTCATGAAGGTTTTATTTTAATACCTAGCTATGCTTCGTTACATGATAGCGGTAGTCTATATATTAAAATAGTTCTTTTATTTTAAATTTTGAATTAGAAGTGCACAATCTGGCTTTTTATGCCTTTAACTACTGGAAGCTACAGGTAGCGTCTTTTTCTAATTTCTCACAATTCTCCCTATTTCCCGCCATGTGGAACTGTTTACAAAAGATCTTTTGAGAATTAGTGTCTTCCATGTAAGCTAAATTTACCACGTGGAAGTAATCGGGTTATATTCAAAACATATCCTTCAAACGTCTATAAATGGCGTCTATTTCAAAACGGGTTTCGTCTGATGCCGTGATGGCACCGTCTGTTGCCGCCAACCCAGCAGATGTTCGCGTCATTATATTACAAATTCTCGTCCATACCGTTATGGTGTAAATTGACATTCTTAGGATTTCAGATTTACTGCTAGATAGAATTTCATTGCGCACACCACTTTTGAACTCAATAGTGTACCGGCCATATTTACTGTAGTTAATAATTAATACTGATTACCTAGTGGCCAATTACTCCAGAGCCGCCTAAACATTTACAAGATGAACATTCCTAAAACGTCTGTTCTTATTCAATGGTTTAATAGACTATCTGACCAGGGAGTCACGGTGGCTTAGTGGGTACGTAGTTGGCTCGCTTGGATGTCCCATGTTCGATCCCTACGTTGGCCGAGAAAGTACAATGGGATTTTCCTGCGTGGTTCCTACTTGTCAGTGGTGCAGGGCCGAGAGCCTGACAAAGGACCACGTGTAGTCGTTCGGGTAGGACGAAAAAACGAGGTCCTTCGGTATAAGTCTTACCTCTAGATAATACTTATGTTCTCGTTCCTCCACAGTGAGAGCGTTGGCTACAGCAAATACAATACCAAATACAACCAATAATAAACAATACATTCCACATAATAACTTGGTCAGGGCAGATCTAATAAAATAAAACATTATTACAATTAGACAAGTTAAAAATAGAGTTCCTTATACACCACACTTACTTTATTTCAGCTAAAAGTCGTTATTTTTAATTGCATAATATCAGCTTATCATGTTTGTGAACATTATTTCATTATTACAATCAGGTGTTTATTTTCAACCTGCTTTGAACTTGGGTACTTCAATTCGGTTTCTTCTTTTTTTTTTTAAATTTTTCAGTGAAGTTTGCCTTTAGTTAAATGCAAGTAAGGAGCATTGTGGCATGCTAAAAAACATTATAACGATTAGTTCATTTTAAAAATAGAACTTCGTGTACACCACACTTACTTTGGTGATGTTAAATTCCAAAATATCAGGTTAATTGGAGAGAGAGAGAGAAATGGGGCTTAACGTCCACTCGACACAAACTAGGTCATTTCGGGACTAACATACGGTTTAATTTTATTAACATAATTCGCTTGCGCGTTGGGGTCTTTAGCAGTGGGAGGAAACCGGAGGACCCGGAGAAAACCCACGAGGTTGGACAGGCGACCCTACTCCTTGCCACGTACAACCGGGGATTCGAAGGTTAATTGGAATATGGTATATTGGAATATATGCTTTGAATGTATAAGTACTCTATAATTTGTCTTTTCATTTCCTTATTATAATTAATGAAACTATCTAGGTTTTATATACTTAAGGTTTACCTTTTGAGTTGATCCAGCAACATTTTTCCAATTAAATCCTCAAAGTTGGATGAAATGAAAAACGGTTTTAATTTTGCTACAAATTTAAGATTTTCTCAGAAAAATAAGATTAATTTTGTCCCTGTTTAGCTCGATGAACACACGAAATATATATTTTACAAAAAACGTTGCGTCTATAGATAGACACACGATACACGGTTTATATACAAAGATTCACTGTTTTATTCCTTGGAAATGGCTCGTTAATAAACTGTTTAAAGTTTTAAAGAAACTTCCAGTCCGTAAAAAATCATGCTCGTACAAAAGATCAGTTCAGAGAACACGATTAATATTTTGAATTAGATGTAGTCGAGAAGATAATAATTCCTAAATGAAATATTATCCGAAAACTGAATAAATTTAAAGAGAACAAGATGGTTCACCATTAATAAATTTTCATTTAGATGTAGTTGATAAAATAATAATTCCTATATGACATAATCTGCGAAATCTGCACATATGTTCACAATCTTTAACTATTAGTTTAAGTTGATTCACAAAATTATTCCAATATGATTACACACTTTTGTTCATTTTAAACGCAGAAAAAGATCCATCTACGATTCATTTATGCGTTCTAGAAAAAAAACAAGGCCAATTTACGTAAAATATCCATCGACAATTAATTTATGCGTTCTTAAAAATACAAGGCTCATTCACAAATTCTTCTGATAAGAATGATAAAACTATAAATTCCACGTGAAAATTGTAAGATTTTTACTGGTATCTCTCTACACACTGAACGGTAATATCTTTCTTCCGGTGGCCGAAGTTCACCTTTAACCTTAATGGCAAAATTCTGTGAACTATTAAGACTAATATCCCACGGCTAAATGCCGCCATTAATGTTCCATATCATCTGCGATATTCATTTTTGATATCTGCTTGATTTATCTTGTATACATCAGACTATAATTTATAGATAAAAATTGGACACTGGAACCGACGGGTCTCTCCAGATAACGATAGCAAAAAACATTTCTGAAGAACCCGATAAAACTCACACGATTGCCTTCAATCACGTTTATTGTTGCTATGACCTCAAATTGCAAATGGAACAGAAATTGTGAATCGTCTAATTTAATTTGCCGATACAGGTGCAGTATGCGAATCCTCTTAATGTCTGTCAGGTTAGTAACCTATAACATTGCTTTTTTGCTCCACCTTTCAACTGTGTCGTAGCGAGTCCGTCCTATTTGTTGCCATCATACATTGTAAAATACCGTTAGAAAATGACTCCATTGAAAAATGAGATAGATAAACAGTTGATTTTTAGAATTTCTATAAGAAAATAACCAAAAACTTTCAAAATGCCTCTTAAGAAATTCCTGCACTAAGAAAATCATGAGACCAGTTATCCTCGGGATAAAAATGTACATGTCTTATAGAAGCAGATCTATGGCATTTATATTAATATAATCTTTACTATATCTGATAATGTTTACGTTTCTATATCTACGGAACTTATGGTAACCTTTTACTGGCATTATCATTGATATTTAATAAACATAATTGTTTCGATCGGGTTAAAGTATATGTGCGTTCATGTTCGGTACTTAAGTGTGGGAAATATATTCTTTGGTGGAAGTAAGGAAAGAGATAGATGGCAGCCATCGCCACTCAAGGAGACAAATTTAGATAAAGTAGAGCATTTGAAGCATAAATCATAAGATAAAAATATCTTCAGTGATTTCTGATAAAAGAATATTATATTTCTTTATATAAAGCAGCTTGAAGTGGATAAGATAACATTCTGGCTTCATTCTTAACTCTGCTTGTTAAGTAGGTAGGTAGCCAAATAACATTTACGAGCTAGCAACAAAATATCACCCAGAATAGTTCCGTCCTTAACATTCTTAAAGTAACGATGTGTCATTTGCATGTGTCGCTCCTCACGGCTTAATTCACGCGAAATATGTACTCAGATTGATTATTCAACACTTAATTAAGAAAACAAATTCAAAAAATATCAACGCAAAATAATCTCCAGGCTTGAATGCAATCGGATTTATAACAGATTGTTTAAAACTGCCCCCCCCCCCCCACAAATTATTGAAATAAAATTGAACCATGTGTTAGTCCCGAAATGACCTAGTTTGTATCGAGTGGACGTTAAACCCCATCTCGTTTGTGTCGAGTGGACTTTACCCCCCCCCCTCTCCCTCTCTCTCTCTCTCCCCCTCTCTCTCTCTCTCTCAATCTCTCTCTCTCTCTCTCCCTTAGGACCGATCTTAGAGATTTGTCTTTCACGATATATTAGTTGACAAAGGCTTTATATTGCGCTAGATAACGCATTGAGACTTTAAGAGATGGCAACAAAATATCGCCCCGATTATCTAGATTCCGAAGTAGGTACAAAACTTACTCAAGAGAAGACAGTCCTGTGTCGGTCTGATTCTCGACGTATCGCCCCCTTACCAAATATCCTCACGAATAGTTAAGTATATTTCACATTCCAAAGTTCACAATTGGGAGAAGTAACTTCGGTCATTTAAAGTATCTGAATGTCACTTGAGGATGGATCCCCTATAAAACTATGATGTTGCGTGGATTAAACCGTGGTCGTGGTAAACAAAATTTGATATTTTCCGAAATATGCAAATGACGAACACATACTATAAATTGAAACAAGCATTTCGATCTGGCGTACTGGTCAAACATCAGTAAGTAGTACGTTGGCTCGCTAACCTGGAGGTCCCGTGTTCGATCCCTGCGTTGGCCGAGAAAGTTCATTGGGATTTTCCGGGGTGGTTCGCCTTTGTAAGTGGTGACGGAAAATCGAGGTCCCGTATACACATTTGCGTGCACGTAAAAGAACCACTGACAGCTGTCCGGGCAAAATTTCCCTCACAGCACACTGCATAGGGTATTTCAATCTTCATAGCCTACTAGGAGCAGAACAGTAGGATGTTAATATAATAGCCAAATAATAACTGTGCGGTCATCTTTCTCTCCAGGGACCCCCGTAAGATCATAATATAGTCTAAAAACTAACCTATAAACTGGATTTCTTCTGGATGTTGGTCCTGTGACCGGATTAATCACCAATTCATCATTTGCCATTTTGTCTTTTTGAGGAGAAACTGGTTCGACAAGACTATTATTTTCCGTTGTTTCCGTAGTAGCAATCGTTCCGTTTGTCTCCTGTTCGTTCGCGGGTTCGTTCAGTATGTAGCTTCCACAGCGCATGGCCGCCAAGCAAGGCACATTAGGTAGACACTCTGAAAAAGACAAAGGAAATTAATGTCGCTGTTTTTTTAAAAAATATATCATTTGTTTTCATAATACACACTATTTGTCTTATTAACATAAACAGAATTTTGTGCATTGACTAGATTTCAACAGCAGAACCTGAATCTGTCATGGATGAATGGATCAAGTCACAGCATCCGTTCACTCCCCGTGGGCTCATGCATGCATTTGTTATGTTCGGCCAGATTTCCATACGCATTTGGGTCATTTTCACTTAAATCTTTGATAAACCCTAACATGAACCACCCTAATAGCCATTCTGGTCAAAACATGGTACATCAACCCACTGTAAGATGGTCGCCATTCCTATACACTCTGATATCAGGTTCATCCTGATTTTCCGGCGTGGTTCCCTCGTTCCCCTGCGTGGAGGTCCCGTGTACACATTGGCGTGCATGTAAAAGATTCCTTTAACAGTTGGAATTCGATATAAGAGTAGGCCATAGTGCCGCTGTCCGGGCAAAATTTTCCTCATGGCACACTGTATGGCGTATGCCCGTCTTCATTAGCCCAGTTCGGAGCAGAACAGCAGGACGTTAAACCACATTTCATTTCATTTCATTTCTCTGAGCTCAGAGCTACCAACAGTATCCGCTCATCGTTATCAAGCACAAATAAAAGAAAATTGTGCTTGATAACGATACGAGGGTACTTATCGAAACGTTGTGCTTGTGTAGAATAAACCATATAACTGTACATGTGTTAGTTTGATTTAGACTTGGTGAGGGCCCAAGCTATGTCATGCTACTATGAAGCTTGGTCGCTCATCGTTAAAGGACAACACCATACAGGGTAACATATGATACAATTATATGGAATACAAATGACTTGAACAGTTTCGACGAGGGTTCTCCCTTCTTTATCAAGCATATATAGATACACTAGCTGTTTAGCCGACATTGCACGGGTGGAGCCCTCCGTCGCTTTCTTATAATACTTTGCTGGAGTCCATGTATTAAAAAACAACACCAGCATATATATTCATTATTTAATGGCTAGGTATTTAAAATAAAACGTATAATTTAAATTAATGACATATTTTAAAACATCATATAACTATTGGATACACAGGCCATGTTTAATAATGCAGTATATAACAAACTACATTTTATTCCTGGAGGTCCTAGGATCGATTCCAGTTTTGGCCGAGAAAGTTCCTCGGGATTTTCCAGTCTTGTTTCCACTTGTCAGAGATGCATGACGTAATACATGGCATTCAGATGGGATGGAAACTCGAGGTCCCGCGTCCATATCGACTGTACCCTAGCTACCTTTAAAAAGTTTGTGCTTAAATCTGGCAATGATTTTTACAACTTTCTATTTGCATACTCGGTAATTTCTTTGGGTTTGATTTTCACTAACAACTTTAAACCATTTTATAGTATAGGATCAACATCAGATCCACTGTAAAATAAAACAACCGTCTATATTAATTCCAACAGGTTAATTATCGACACCAGAATTACTCAATCTAAACAGATACAATGCTGCTATTAACACCAAAGCATAATGCTGGCGGTTGCACTAATGGAACATGTTATCATTTACAGAAAGTGAATTACTTTGAAATAATCCTCCATTCTTGGTTGATAATATCGTACACATATTATAGCTATCCGGTACTAGGCCAAACAACTGTGCCGTAAATGACAACCTTTAGTAATGGAGATCGTTCAATAAGCAGGAATTAGATGAAGCCGGATAGAGTGAGTCAGTATGGATAATAGAAAAAGATGTTATTCAGTAATGTGTTTATTAAACACACAATTAACCACCTAATGGTGCTTACAACATCCTGTAGAGGCGAGAATTTCCTCGGGCCACGATAATACAAATCGCACGCGATTTTAATCTACTGCTGAATGCTTCGGTTTTTTTGTCTGATACTTACAAACGTGTTGTTTTAAAGGTGCGAACTGTACGCTCTTGTATTTAACAGTTGTGTTAAAGCTACCCCTTAACATTACGTACAATATTATTTTGTAATACAGTGAAAGTAGCGTTTGAACTAGTATAATTACTAACTCTATTCCTTGCTATTAACTCGGGAATCTCACAAAACTGAAGATCCCAACATCGATTTCGGCGATCCACGTTGGCCAAGTGAGTCGGGGCAGAACAGTAGGACGTCAAACCCCATTTCATTGCCTTGCGTATGATGGTTTTAATTCGCCCGCTTTGTGCACAAACGTTTTCCATTAAACCCTATTTCATTTAATTTGTTTCAGAAATTATTTTATTTCATGATGCATCGGGAATCTTTCGTCAATATATAACATGGTATGTGTTCAGATCAATCTTGTAAAATGTCTTGTAATCCAATATTATGTAATCTGACTTGATATTTGGAAAAAAAACCAAAGACGTGGCATTTTAAAGACGTGTTTTTATTGTGGTCTGACCGACAAACTATGCCTTTGTTTTTAAATACCTTGAGCAAATATATCTAATGTCTATCTACTTCACCATACGCATCTATCACTAGAAAACTACATATCATGTCTCTGATGTTCAGAATGTACACTTCATATTAAAGTTATTATGTAGTCAATTATTCCAGCCATTTGCAGATATTGTTAGCCCGAGGTCCCAGTGTTCCCATTAGGCTGGGAAGATTGAAATGTAATACAATATTATGTTACGTAGGACGATAACCTGTCAAAATTAACATTTAAAATCGCATTCCTACTTCCGAGAAATGATTGAGTTTATTCACCTTTGGGAGGAAATGAATTCTGTTTGTATCTTGTAAACACCCCGCAGGTCAGAATTCTTGACGAATTATTCAAATTTACGTGTATTGTTTATCAGAACTGTATCTCAATTGTTGAGAAAAAGCTGCCATTCGGAAAACTATGTTCATTTGTGGAATAGGAACAAGGTCCCAAGCGCTACACATCTTCTTGTTCTTGTTCTTGTTCTTTGGTGAGTGAGGTACGTCGAAAAAATACCCAGACACCCCAATTAAGGTACAATCGACATGCAACTTGACATAATTGTTCCTTGGACAATTGTGCATCGGTTGACCAACTTCGATTTTCGATTTGCCGTCACAATTCCAAGATGGCAGTGATGATGTCATATTCGGTTCCAGGTCCATAGCATTCTGAACATCTGAGACACGCTACCTGCGGAGAAGTATCTCAGACACAGTCAATAGCCATGATATCCATATCACGTGATCTACATATCACAGGTCATGACATTGACGTCAGGCCAACAACACGTTACATAGGTTTATCTTCAGCATTCTTCCCTTTGCACCCATAAAGACTATACAATTCGTCCAGTCTCAACATGTTCTCTCTTCTGCCAATGATTTTTCACAAAATAACATCTACAACTCATAGAATTGACGTCGTCTTCAATGACAGAGGCTGCCATCTTGGCACTATTTTGTGCGTCGGTCGTGTCTATTTCAGATATACACAATCAATTCTGTTGATGTTTTTAGCGTTGGGATTGACTAATAGTTAATTTATTTCAGTTCTAAAACAAATATTTTAAACTTTAACGCAAATTTAGAAAATAGCCAAATTCTGGCTGGGATTACTGAGCAAAATGGCCATTCACTGTATACGTGCGAAAAAAAAGCTAGCCACCAATTAATTTTCGTACGTTAGTTACGTACGGGTCCATAGTGTACTCATACCTGTTATGGACATAGTCTTGGTCACCCAGAACCTCCTAGTCTTAAACTTCGTAGAATATTTTGTCTAAATGATATAGACTATTATGAACATTATTCACTGTTAGGGTTATAGTCAAAATGTTTCCTTCAAGTATATATCCCATGCAAGACACGGTAATGGGTCTTAAAAAGGAATTCTTTTATTTTTATTGATATAAGGAATAGAAGCAACCCTCTACCACTAATTAAATTTCTCGTTTAAAGATAAACATAGCCACATATCTAAATAGACCTATATACCATTAATTAAATTTCTTATTTAACAACAAATATAGCAACATATTTATCCTTATGTCTTGTGTTATAATCCTAATGAAATCCAACCATATTACGTCGTAATACCATGCTTATAAATACGTTAATTAACGCCAGACGCCATTTAATGTAGAGAGTTTACAGTTATGTCATTAGCTGTAAGTAACGTTTTCATGGGCTTCAGGGCTATCTATAGACAGAATTGAACGTTAAGGAAATCAGCAAAGGCATTGGGATGAAAATAAAAAAAAGAAATCTAGTAGTAACTTACCAGACAGAGACAGGAGTGTGTGGGTGGATGGAAGGGGTATTTACAAGCCACACAAACTAGGTAAATTCGGGACTAACATGTGACATGTTGGGGGGGGGGGCTGAGGACCGAGAGAAAACCCACGATGTTAAGCTGGGCAAACTCGCTTATCACTCAAAGCCTTGAGAACGAAACCACAAACACCAATCCTCTGATTTCCTTCTTCCACTGCTAAAGGCCCCTACGCACAAATGCGAATTATTGAAATAAAATTAAACCATGTGCGAACCCAGAAACTACCTGGGTTGTGTTCTAGTTTGTGTCGATTGGATCTCTCTCTCTCTCTCTCTCTCTCTGTGTGTGTTGAACTGTAGTAAAGATATAAAGTTGTTGTGTTTTGGGTTAATATATTATAGTTGTAGTAGTATTAGTTGTCATTATAGTATATGAGGTATTTATAGCAACAGATGGTGTTTCAGACATGATGGAAGTTGGTACAGCTGATGCTAATTCTCATGTCATTTAACATACAGTAACAATTTGATCTGATTCAGCTGTTAAATTACCGACAGTTAGTACCAGATTCCATAGTGATAAACACATTTCACTAGATGATTCTAATCTATACACATCAAGAGTTTTTTTTAAAAAATAAAATGGCTGTTTCGATGTTTTTCTGGGTAACTAATTTTTCAATCTGTATACACATTTTTTCTTCGCCCCATTATCTTGGTGTTGTCCTAAGTCCATCTATTTATTTCGCAAGTTTATAG